TTCAGCAATGAAAAGAAATGAGTTATGAAGCCATGAAAAGACATGGATAAATCTTAAATGCACATTGCTACATAAAAGGAGCCAGTCTCCAAAAGCTACATTTAAGACTTCAATTTTATGACATTCTCAAAAAGAAAAACTATACAGAGTTAAAAGATCAATGGTTGACAGAGGTTCAGTAGTAAGGAGGATCTTTAAAGTGGTGAAACTATTCTGTCCTGGAGGATATATGACACTATGTATTTGTCAAAACCCATGGAATGTCACAGCACAAAGAGTAAATCTTGAACGCAAATTAACAAAAATAACAGGAGATCAGTGGAATCCCAGGGTGGAACGCAAAATGTGACAAGCCAACCTAACAACTTTACAAATGTGTGACGTGAAACTACTTTATAGAAGAGGGTGGGAAAAAAAGATGATGACACAAGTAACTTGTCCATAATCACTTGGCCATATACTATGTGAGGATTTATTTCTGGTCTCTCAATTTTATTCCATTGCTCTATATGTGTATCCTTATGCCACACTTTTTTGCTCACAGTCACTTCATAATTAGTTTTGAAATCAGGAGTGTGAGTGTTCTAATTTTGTTTTCCCTTTTTAAGTATCGTTTTGGCTGTTAAGAACCCCTTGCAATTTGACATGAATTGAAGATAAACTCTTTCAGTCTTGAAAAAAAAAGCCATTGGAATTTGATTCTGGAGAATGACTGTAGACTACTGTGGACTCAACCAAGTAGTAACCCACATCACAGTCGCTGTAGAAATGAGATATCTAGAGCAGATTAATAAAGCTCGAGGTGTATGGTTTACTGTCATTCATTTAATGAGTACATTTTTTCCCCATTTGATTTGGGAAAGAATGATCAGAAACAGTTCTCATTCTCATGGAACTGACAAAATATTATTCAGAATTTTACATCAGGGCTATGTTGATTCTTTTGCTCTCTGTCATAATATAGTCTGAAGAAATCTGGATCACTTGGACAGCCCACAGGACATTGCACTGATCTGTTACACTGGTCTCATGCTGATCAGGCAGGACAAGCAGAGAAAGCGTCTGCAGCAGGCCCTGGCTGCAGAGCAAACAAGCGCCCCACTTGGACCATCAGATCCAGCCAACCCTATGGTTTTGGAGTCAGTGCTGGGAAAGATGCAAAATGGAGCTTACGGCAAGCCCCAGCCGGAGAATCACAATGCAGGACTCTGGAATTCTGCGGCAAGTTCATGGCACCCACTGCAGAGAATTGTATACCTTTTGAGAAAGTTCCTGGCTTGGCCCTGGGCCCTGGTAGAGACACTATCAGTCCAAAAGACAAATAAAGTCTCAGTATTGTTTTTGAAAGTAATTTTGAACTAGCAGACTCCTAACAGGGTCTTGGAGACCCCCAGGTATCCAAAGGCCACACTTTTTGAACCACTCTCAAGGTTATGGGGCTAATGATTTTCTTTTTTCTTTTCTTTCTCATCCTCCTCCTCCTCTCTCTTCCTTTTCCCCCCTCCTTCTTTCTTAACAAGCCTGTTTTCTAATTTTTTGTGCAATCAACAGGTTTCTTAGGAAATTTTAAAAATTTAAGATTAATTGTGAACATCTTTCTACATTAAGTGGGCTCTAAAGTAAGAATTTTGTATATCTACATATTTAATTAATAAAATGGATATTTCATATATAACCATGTATTCATGTAATTGTTATATCTAGTCTTCTCATGCCACCTTCATGCATGCAATTTTATTTTTCTCTTTTGAATTCTTTCTTTGGCTATGTCCTAGTGCAGTCAGCCTAAAACCCTCAGGAACAGACCTTTAGTCTGACAAAGTTCACTTTGTTGATCTACTACATGCGGGAGACTGCCCAGCAGGGAAACTTTGGGGGTCTGACCACGCAAAAGGAAAGAATATTAAAGTTTTGGAGAGAAGGGTGGGCTTAGGTGAAATGTAAACCAAGCAATGTTTTTGATAGGCTCAAGGAAGAGCTGCATGAGAAGGGTCAGCTTCAGGTCTGGACATCAAAGTGGACCCAAAAGTCCTGTTCTCTGGAAAACTAAAAAGTCAAGATAGCTGTGGAATGTTGTTCAGTCCAGAAACTTCTTACCTGAAGCCATTTCTCTGTGTCACAGTGGCTTAGCTCCTCCAGGCATGTTTCATTCTTAGTAGTATGTTTCAAAAAGCGCATTTCTGATAGTTTGTGATTTTTAGGGAGAAAAAAAGGGAAATCTTAGTGAAAAAAAAAAAGAATAACCACTCAAATAACATGGTTATTGGGACAGTTTACAGTTGTAACATGAGCTTGGTAGAAGTAATGTTTCCTGTTAATGTTGTAGCTGGCTTCATCCGCATCTGCTCTGATGCATGGGTGGGCACACTTTACTTGCTCACTCCAAACTAATTTTTACTTTTTCTGCTATAGACCCCCAAATACAAATCCTGAACCAATGATTTAGTCATGTATTTGGGTTTTTTTGTTTTGTTTTGTTTTTTATTTTCCCTTACTGCATTATCTATAACAGCCCAGTCCACCCTCAGTCATTCTATTTCTAATGGCTATGGGGAATGCACCCCCTCCCCAGTGGTCACTGAGGTACTGTCGAGTCCTCAGGGATCGGAGGAGACCCACCCAAAGGAAGCTGCTTCTCACCATAGGCCAGGCAATTGGGAGCCTCTTACTATGGCCACCTCTTCCAGGCTGCCCTCCAGAGGTGACAGGAACCAGCTATTCCACCACTCACCACAGGCAGAGGACTGGGGGGTCAGGGCAGCCCTCTCTTGGACTAAAGCAGCTCCATTGCACACAAATTGCTGAGGCCTCCCTGGAGTTCTGAACCCAAGGATCTGAAGAAACTGGGCCTCCAGCTGGGCACCTTCCTTCTCCAGAATCTTACCCTGGTGGGTCACACCCAGCCTTTCTACACTGGACAGTCTAATTTTAAATGTATAAAATAATTCTGAAAACAAATGCATATCTCTGTATGGTCATGTGTCACTTAACGACAGGCATACCTTCCAAGAAATGCTTCATGGGCACTAAGAATGGTTTGTAGCCTGACAGCCCTTGGGAGAAAAAAAAAAAAGCCTTTACATAGCCTGACAGCCCTAAAAAAAAAAAAAAAAAAGAGAAATGCTTCATTGGGTGATATTGTTGTCATGAGAATATCATAGAGTGCAGTTACACAAGTCTACATAGTGTAGCCTACTAAACACCAAAATTATATCGTATGGCCTATTGCTCCTAGGCTACAGCCCTGTACAGCATTTTACTGTACTGACTACTGTAGGCAACTGTAACACACTGGTATGTATTTGTGCATCTTAACATAGAAAAGATACTGTAAAAATATGGAACAAAAGATAAAAAATGGTACATCTTTCTAGGACCCCTACCATGAACGGAGCTTACAGGACTGGAAGTCGCTCTGGGTGAGTCAGTGAGTGAGTGGTGAGTGAATGTGAAGGCCTAGGGCATTGCTGCGCACTGCTGTAGATTTTATAAACACTGTCCACTTAGGCAATGCTAATAAATTAACCTTACGTTACTGTAAAATTTTTACTTTAAAAAAATTTTTTTTAATTTTTTTGACTTTTTGAGAACACGTAGCTTAAAATTCAAAAGCATTGTATAGCTGAACAAAAATATTTTTTTCTTTATATCTTTATTCTATAAGCCTTTTCCTATTACTTTATTTATTTACTTTTTAAATTTTTGGTTAAAAACTAAGACACAAACACACATTGGCGTAGGCCCACACAGGGCCAGGATCATCAGCCTCACTGTCTTCTACCTCCATGTCTTGTCCCACTGGAGGACTTTCAGGGGCAATAAAATGCGTGGAGCTGTCATGGCCTATGGTAACAATGCCTTGTTCTGAAAGACCTGCCTGAGGCTCTTCTTGAGGTTTTACTCTTTTTCAGAAATATGTCCATGGTGGTTTTCTTTGTTTGTTTCTTTTTTCCACCATAAATTTGCCAGTAAGCAGAGAATGCACCATGAACTTTCTTCCCCATTAATGAAAACCTGTTGGTGTTGGAGCCCATGTTTTCGAACTTTTTAAGGAGCTTGTTGAAGTCTGAAAGGCTTTTGCTAAACCTTTTACTGAGGATTTTCTTGGGGGCAGGGTGGTGGTGTTGTCTTTTTGTTCTCCTGTAGTTTCCTTTTCTCTGCCTCTTTTTTTAGCTATGTGTTCCTGTTCCAGTTCCAACAACTGCTCACCAGTCACTTCCTCAGAAACCACCTCTAAGAGCTCCTCAGTGTCGTCCTCATCTACACCCAGGTTAAAGTTGTTTGCTGCCTTCATCATGGCCTATTGATCTTTGTAACATTTGCACTATGATGTTATAATGGCTACAATGTCACTGGGCAATAGGAATTTCGCAGCTCCATCATAATCTTGTGAGACTCCCATTGTATATGTGGTCCATAATTGATTGAAATGTTATGTGGTATGTGACTGTATTTCTCTATATGAAGAGCTTACCTTGTGATAAGTCAGGCACAAAAACAGATTATCTTGAAAGGATGAACCTTGACAATTTGCCATAAAATGATTGCAATAGAAAGCTTATTTGGACATGATTAGAGATGTTTTAAGGGTTTAACATCTTTACAAGTTGAGCTGGAAGAAAGCTTATTTAGAATAATCTTGTCCAACTCTTTCATAGCACACAGAGGAAACTATTTTAAGTTCAGAGAGATTAAGTGACTGAGTTAAGGTCACACAGCAAAGCCAGAGTTAACTCTTGTACAACGATTCTCCTGTGGGACTAGGCAAATGAGAAATCCTTTGTTTCCTTTCTGTGCAGAGATTTTTTTTTTTTAGGTTACTCTTCTAGTCCTGACGAATAACCCTGCTACTCATGGCTTTGTATCTCAACTGATTAAATTCTGTTCCTTAACTGGTTTGGTTTTGTTTCCACGGAGCTCAGTTGGTTAAGGAAACTAGCTTGTCAGGTCCAGGTCCAGCCAGCCCCACCCCTCTGGGCGGGCAGATAACAGCTGACTCCGCCAGTCTCGCTCATGTGACCACCACAGCTCCCTGTCCTGCTCCATCCTAGGCCTGGATAGGCACTTCCAGGGGTTCCTTCTGCGAGTGGCAACAGGTAGGCACCCCAGCCCTGCCCGTGCAACACTGCAACAGCTAGGGGGATACCGGACAGGTGCAGTCAAACTGACCTGGGCACATCTGATGGCGGGCTTTTCAGGAGCAGGACAAAGTGTGGCTGGCCTAAAAAACACCTCCACCATCCTTACTTGCCCTCCCCTCTCTCTGTCCCTACCTCCAGGAAGACCACTCTGCCCTTCCTTCCTCTGTTCTTTGGCTTTCCTTTCCCCTCAGCTACAGACATTTCCCTTTTTTTCTCTCTGCTGACTTCGCAGCACACTGCCAGGCGTGGAGAGGTTAATCAGTGACAGGAAGCTGCCTCTTTGGGAGCAGTAACTGGCTGTGGTACGGACAGATTCTGCAAGGCCAGCCCTAGGAGTGTCCAGCTCCCTGCCTGCTGCTCACCCGCCTGCTGGTGACATGGGACACCTTGGGGCCCTCCTCTTCCTGCTGGGGGCCCTGGGGGCTCTCGCCGATGTCTGCAGTAAGTAACCGGACCTATCCTGTGTCTCTTGCCTCCTGGGTGCTTAGGAGGGGTGACTATTTTGTCCTAGCCCTTCATTATATAGCTGGGGAAATCGAGATGCCGATGTTGGGGTAGGTATGACTTATCTGCCTGCCCCTTTGGGCTCCCAAAGCAGTTTGGGCTTAGCTGGACCACAGCATTTAGCACACTGTGTTAAGAATTATATGTCTGATTCCCCACCAAACACGATCCCCTCCATTAATTCAGTCATTTGTTCATTTATCCATTTGATGCACACTGATGGAGACTTCTCTGTAACTGGTATGGTGTTAGGGTTTAGGGAAAGAACAAAGAGCGAGGCGAATCCAGTCCCTGTCCTCCTAAAGCTTCTGTCCTGGTGGAGGGACAGACGAAGAAAATCAAGAGGCAAATCAATGCTGTGTTTGGGGGCTGAGGTGAGTGCAAAATGAAGGCATGAAGTTTGGGGAAGGATTTCCAAGGAGCTGGGGACAGCATGGCAACTGAAGCACAAAGGAGGGAGAGGAACTGGCAGGGAAAGGAGTAGGGGACAGGCCTCCCAGGCAGAGGGAGGTGAGTATGGAGACCCTGGTGGGGAGATGAGTCCCAAAAGGTCAGGGAGGTCCAAAGCGAGACATTTGCATTGTGTTCCTTATGTGCCAGGGCCTGTCTGTTAGTCTGAGTGCACAAATTTGGAGCTACCTGGGCACTAGGGCCAGACAGGAAGCAGGGCCCAGTCAGGAAGCAGAAGCCAGGAAGGAAAGCCTTTGAATTCTGGGACCACCCACCTCTTTTCCTTCCTCTTACACGCTGCCTGTAGCATTATGCCCTGCAATATGCTTTCACCACCAGGGTCTCCTGTGATCCTTGGAGAAACCAAGAGGCAGGTTCAGGCATGTCCCGGTGATATATGAGGCAGTCATCTTTCACCTGGATGTGGAGCGGCTAGGTGACCTGCCCAAGGCGCTCCAGCTTTCCAGGGGACTGGCTTTGCCAGACTCAGTTCTCAGAACCTCCGAACAAGACCTTGGGGACCAGGACCCTCCAGCCTGTGTTCCACAAGTGCAGCCAGACCCCTTAGCCCCTCGCTCTTGGTTCCTGTCTAGATAGTCCCTAGGGGAGGCCAGGGACCTGGTCCTCACCCTCACTGATTGTGAACATGTTAAAAGTCCCTTTCCCATGGAACCTGGAGAACTCCAGCCTGGGTTTGCAGGTGCAGCTTGCTCCTGGGGAGTCACTTCGTCATTCCCAGCCTCATTCCCTCACCTGGAAAATGGGCTAAGAATGCTCCCCAGCCTTCCTCCTTTGTGTATGCCAGGGTCCCACGCACCTGCTTTACCAGCCTAAAGCTCTAGGAAATTAACAGGGGTGCTGCACTAATGTTTGTGCAAGGTGGGCTCCTGTGCTTCAGAATGTTAATACCAGTCAGAGCTGTGCGGCCTTGTGAGCAGGAGGCTCCCATGGGGGGAGTGCTAGCCCAGGGCCACTTTTATTACCCTGGGTGACTCTGTCTGGCTCCTTCCTTTTAAGGAGCCTGTTTATAGCTCCAGTCTCTCTTCTTATCACTTCTAACCCCGAGGCTGACTCATCTGCTGGAGGTCAGGTCCCAGGGTGAGGCAGGGATTTCTTCACCATTTTGAAGAAAAGCAAAAGGGAAAGAGAAATGTGCAAAGGACGGGTGACCAGAAAGACAGGCTGAGTGAAGTAGAGACTGAGCTAGTCAGAGAGAGAAATGGAGGCAGACACACAGAAAGACCCTAAGAGGTAGAAGGGGCAAGAAGAGAAATTCCCACTTACCTTTCCCATCCCACTCCCCCTACCTTCCTGCTCTCATAGCAACAGATATCTATGCCTTTGGGAAAATAACATAAGATGGTAGGGCCCAAACCAGAAGAGATAGGGCTGTGTGAGAGGCAGCCCAGGAGGTGAAACCAGAAAAGTCCGCGTGCGTGCTCCCTGTCTCTATCAAAATCAGTAAGGAGAGACAAGGACTGAATCTTTATGGGCGCTTTATTCAGATGCCGGTGATCTGAGAAGACAGCGGGTTGTGTACCCTCAAAAACTGTCTAAACCTCTCCTCTCAAGCCGACCTTTTTATAAGGAGAAGAAAGGAGTAGATAAAGGGTTTGGGAAAAAGGTGAGCCGGACAACAGTTGCAGTCCAATGGCGATTTTCCTAGTAATTCTTTACCTGCTGATCAACAATTCTTTATCTGTGTCACAGTCACCAACGTTCCCTCCCTGGAACACAATGCCATCTCCATCGCTGCCTGTTGAACTTCTGGGGTCCTGTAGGTCATGTATGCCAGTTCCTGGAATGACAGCTTTCCATAGGCATTAATCACTTAAGCCTCTCAATTATAACTAAGCTAAAATCTTTAACTCTTGAGTTCCCCTATCAGAAGCACTCTGCCTGGCAGGTCCTTTGGGAGGGGTGGCCTGCGCAGTATCCTGGGACAGGGCACGGAGGACCCAGGTGGAGCCCTGCAGTGACCCGGAGGCAGTAGACGGGGGAAAAGACCAAGGTGACTGCAAAGCTCATGCTCCTTCCCTAAAAGGAAAGGTTGGATGAAGCTCAGCAGCATCTGCGAAATAGGTCAGCAGCAGCTGGGAAATATCCCTAAGGTTCAGCTTCCTGGGTATATCCAGGTACCTTCACATTTTAGTTACACTGTTTTAGGTGAATTTCAAAGCACACAGTTAAATGGTTGAAAAATGTGATAGCTTTCTCACAATTCACCTCACAATCTCGGGTCTAAACAGAGGTGGCAGGGAAAGGGTTATTTTGAGATCTGCATAAAGAAGGTTCAGCAGAGAGCCCAGGGAGCCAGTCAGTGAGCAGTGTTTTAAAACTGGATGAGTGACATGTTCTGCATGTGGGCTGAAGTTTTTGGAAATGGGTAAAACTCACGATCAGCAGAGTGTCAGAGAACAGGGGCTTTGCGGGCAGGTCCATCCTTGGATCGGCAGCCTTGTGTAAGATACAACCTTGAACTTTTGTTCCTTCTTTTGTGCAAAGCAATGATGACAGTACCTACATCAGGGAGCTGGCATGAGGACCAGGTGAGGTCGGGCACAGTGCCCGAGGCACACCGCATGGCTTGGCCTCCAGTCTCTCTGTCACTCCTCAAGGGCAGAGTAGTTGCCTGGTGCAGGCTTCCTTTGCACCCGCCCACCACCCCTCCCTGGCCCATTCCAACCGCTCTTTTAGGACACCCACTCCCCCCACCCCCACCTTTACCCCCCTGCCTTTCATTATGGCCAGATTTCCCCAAAGGAGTAGGGTCTGTTCTGGGTGGAGTAGGGGGTGGGGACACTTATTCCTTGGAGAAGGCCCTGGTAAGGTAAAAGCAGTTCCTTGCTGGCGGCCTTCCCCTGCGACCTCACGTGGCCTATTTTCTTTCCTAAGACATACCCCAGGTGGACAGCAAGCTGTTGCAGAATCTGGGTCAGCGCCTCTTGCCCTGGATGGACCAGCTCTCTCCAGAGCACCTGAACCCCAGTATCTACGTGGGCCTACGCCTCTCCAGCCTGGAGGCCAGCACCGTGGAGGCCTTCTACCTGCACAGCCTCAAGCTCAATTACCAGCAGAGCCTCCTGGGGTATCGCCATGCCATGCTCCCTCTTCTCTTTTTCCCATGTCCTGCTCCACTCCCTAAGAGACAGAAGACCTGGGTTCTGGTTTTGTGCCTGTCACTGCTTGGTTGGGAGACCTTAGACAAGTTTCATCTCCTCTTGGCCTTTTTTTCACCCGTAGAATGTAGTTGTTTTGATTAGAATGAAGATACCAATACAGGGTCCTTGTGCTGCTACTGCACCCCCTGGACCTGAGGCAGACGTCACTAATCCACAACCACACCCTTCCATACCGAGCCCAGAAGCTGCATCTGACTCTGCTCCCTTTCTAGAGGGATTAAGGGGAGGACTGTTCTGAGGTCCAGTGGGGGAATTTGAATGAGGGAAGAAGGATCAGGAGCACCGTGGAGCATCTCCTTCTTGGTCTCCTTCCTGAGAAATGGAGGCAGGGCAGGGGGAAGAAAGACAGGGAGGAGTGCATGGGTGAAGGGTGACTAAAACGGTGGGCAAGCACAAGTCATTTGGATGGGAGAACCCTCAGAGTTTGTCCTTGAGTTTAGTTTTTCATCTTTATAAAATGTATGTGGCATATACCTCCTAACGTGCATGGCTGACAATATCTGCTTTTGGGGAGTTCTAGCAAATTTTATAGTTGCTAGGATATTTTCCACTTTGTAATGTTTGCAGGGGGCGGTGGAACCCTAAGGCAGGCTTACCTGGGGGGCATTTTGTCCTGGAAGTGTTGTTAACTGGCTTTGTTCTATGTTTGCCTCCAGCGATGACAACAGTGATCTCCAGGCCAAGCCCTCCATGGGCCAGCTGGCTCTCTACATGCTCGCTGTCAGGGCCAACTGCGAGTTTGTTGGAGGCCACAAGGGGGACAGGCTGGTTTCACATCTGAAACGGTTCCTGGAGGATGAGAAGAAAGCCATCGGTGAGGGGATGCAGCTTGCCAAGGCTGGGGAGGGCTAATTGGAACATTGGGTTTTGTCCCTAGGCCTCTTTCCAGCCCTTCACCTGCCTATCTCACTATCCACTTAGAGCCCCCTGCCTGCCCCAGTAGCCATCCTTGGTCCAGCCCTTCCTGCACTCCGCATACACCCTGTCGGCAAGTTCTGCTGCTCAGCCACCAAGACTGACCTGACTATCCACCTCTGTGACAACAGCGTAGCCTTCATAGTACTTACTCCTCACCCTTTCTCTGCTCACTTTCTTGCCTCCTGACTTGTCCAGCACACACAAAGGGAGCATTTTAAATATAAATCTGACCTTTCAATGCTGCTTAAACCCTGCAGGAGCTGCTCACTGCTCTGTTCACAGCCCACAGACCCAGCCTGTCTGCTGTGCTCTCCTGTCTGAGCTCTGCCCACCCACCCTCTGACTCACCCACTTACACCGCCCCCTTCCATGGACTCCAGCCACACAGGCCTTCTCTTAGCTTCCCAACCAGGGAATCCGTCTATGTTCCCTGTGTCTGGAAGGTCTCCCTCCCCTTCTAGCTCTCTCCCACCTCACCTCCCCAGCATCACTCCCTTAGAGACTCCTGCCCTGACGCCCCCAGTATTCAAAGACCTTCGTTATACTGCCCCAAGGACCTCCGTCCACATTTCAGTCCTAATCATGCTCTCGCGAGTGTGCATTGTATTATTGTCAGAGGCCCCAGCTGCGCTGCGCCTGGCTGTTGTCACTGTATTCGTGCCTCCAAGCACAGCACGTGACACTTAGTGGAGCCTCAGCCAGTAAGGGTTAAAGGAATGAAGGGCCCCATGACCTAAAGGAGGATGTCAGAAAGTATAGGCCGTAAGGTCCTGTGTGCTGGTGGGGCTAGTTGCTGGGAGGAGACAGAGAGGCAACCCCTCAAGCCTGGTGAGACACCCTCACCCCTTGGTTTTCTCCCTCTCAGGGCACACTCACAAAGGCCAGCCCCACACCAGCTATTACCAGTACGGCCTGAGCATTCTGGCCCTCTGTGTCCACCAGAAGCGGGTCCATGACAGCGTGGTTGGCAAGCTCCTGTATGCTGTGGAACACATCCACCATCTTCAACAGGACCACCTTTCTGTGGGTGAGTGGGACAGATCCTGCGAGGCCCGGCCGGGGCTCCTCCCGCCCACAGCCCCAACTGAAGGCCTCTACCCCCTGACCTCATGCTCACCTTTCCTTGGGACCAAGTCCATTAGGAACAAAACGGCGAGGGCGTGTGTGCCGTGCAGTGGCTGTGACCAGCGCTGGGGCTGGGTTGGGATCCTGACCCCAGATCAGTTGCACATGGTTATTGTAGGACACCCTGGACAAGGCAGCTGGCCTTTCTGGTTCAGTTTCTCCTGTAAAATAACCTCCCAGCAGCATCTTGATAAAAAATGCCTTATAAGTCAAGGGCTTAGCACAATGCCTGGCATGGAGAAAGTTCTGGAAGTATAGCTGTGATCTATCATCATATGAGCTGGGAAACCTGAGACCTGGATCCCAGATGTGCTTCCTCATTGTGTGACCTTGGGCTTTCAGTACCCTTTCTTGTCATTGTATTTCAAGGCCTGGTTCTGAGAGTGAGTGCCTGTGTGCCTCCCATAGGGTGGGGTAGGATGGAATAGGTTACAGCGGTGGTTAGAGACCCAGAGAGAAGACGACAGTAGGGTCTCTGCCAGCAGGAAACTCATTCTGCCTCAGGAGCTTGCAGAAAAACCTCTGCAGACACATTAAATCACTTTGGGAGTGGGGAAGCTTAAAAATCCCCATGGCCGCCCTGACTGGTATGTCTTGGTTGGGCATCCTCCTGCAAAATGAAAGGTCACCGGTTTGATTCCTGGTCAGGGCACATGCCTGTGTTGCAGGTTTGGTTCCCAGTCAGAGTGTGAATGGGAACCAACCAATCAATATTGCTCTCTCATATCACTGTTTCCCTCCCTCTCTCTCTCCCTCCCTTCCCCTCTCCCTAAAAGTAAATGAATAAATAAAGTCTTAAAAAAAAAAATCCCCAGGGCCCAGGAAGCTCCCTGGGCCTATTAAAGCAGACTGCCTTTGGGTGAATCCAGGTATCAGTTCATGTAAAACTTGCCTGGTGATTACAGTGTATAGGCAGGTTTGGGAATGAGTGGGTAGGATAAAGTCCTTTTGGGCCTTCCTCCTCCAGTCTCTCCCTAACCTCTAACTACCCAACATTAGATAGGGGTAGGGTGACCAACCCTCCCAGTTTGCCCAGGACTAAGGGTTCTCCCAGAACACCCGACTTACAGTGCCCAAACGGAGAGTCTTGGGCAAACTCAGCTGAGTGGATCCCCTCGCTGGTGGAAACTTTCTAAAATACCTATCTGACCATGTTGATTCCCTTCTTCAAGCCCTCCTGTGGCCACCCATTGCCCCTGCACCCTACCTCGGCTGACCGCAACCGGTTCTGTCCCCTGCAGACACAATGGCCATGGCAGGCTTGGCCTTCATCTGTCTGGAGCGCTCCAACCTCAACCCCAACCTGAGAAGCCGCATCACCCCGGCCATCAGGACATTGCAAGAGGATATCTTGAAGGCCCAGACCCCAGAGGGCCACTTTGGGAATGTCTATAGCACCCCTCTCGCACTGCAGGTGGGAAAGAGACTCCGGGCCTGTGGTCCACCCTGGTGGCTGGTGGGAGGTGGGCTGCTCAGGGGCTGGAAGAACTGTTTTCTCCCTGCTGCCTGACCCACCTCCTCCTTCTCTCCCCTACTCTGTCACCAGCTGCTGGTGACCTCCCCTATTTCTGGGGTGAAGCTGCGAAGAGCATGCCTCAACGCGAGGGCTGCTCTGTTGGCCAGCCTGCAGGATGGGGCCTTCCAGAATGCTCTCATGATTTCCCAGCTACTGCCTGCCCTGAACCACAAGAGCTATGTGGATCTTATCTCCCCAGACTGCCTGGCACCAAGAGGTAGCCTTTCATGCAAGCTTGGCTGTTTTCAGTCTGCAGGGCACTCACTCAAGTCTGCATGGCTCAATGAGGGGCAGTTGTTTGGTCCTGATTTGCTGAGTCAACAGGGGTGTGTGGGTGTGCGTGGGACACACTGGCAGCTAAGATGTGGTCATAGCCTCTAGAAATTCACAGAAATGTGGGGAAGGAGACACCAAATGGAGAGCTCAGGGTAGGCCAGGAATCTGAAGCCTTATTGCGGTACCCGGGATAGAAATGCTTGAATGAATGAGTGAGGAGTGACACATTTTGGTTAGCTCTTATACATCATGAGTCCCAGTTAGCAGCTTGAATCAGGGCTTTCCCTGGGAGAGGGCCTTGAGTTGATGATTGGGATTTGCCAGTGGAGAAGAGAGCAGAGAAGAGGCAGCAAGAGCAAAGACACAGGGATGTAAAGACTGGAATTTGGGTGAAGGGTCTTGCTAAAGAGGGGGCTCTGGGAGAATGAGCTGGAGTGGCAGGCAGGAGAATGAAAAGGAAAGGAGATCCTCAGGGAGAACAGGGGATAGTATGAGCAAATGCATATTCTAGAAAGAGCCCTCTGGGTACTATGTAGCAGATAGGTGGGAGGGGGTTCCTGGAGGCAGAGAAACCACTGGGGGGCCTGACCCTGGGGACTAAGGGACAGGGTGGCCTGGGACGGCAGCCGGGTTTCAGCTGAGCAGGTGGTGGTGGTGTTGACTGAGAAGAGACTATATGGAAGGCAGAGGTCCTGATGTGTCACAGTGTCTTCAAGGGAAGGAAGGAAGACTAACACCCAGGCCCCCTGCCCTTACACTAGCTGATGCTTCCTCTCTCCTGGGTACAGTTATGTTGGAACCAGCAACAGTGACCTCCTCACAGACGCCAGTCCCAGAGGTCATCCATGTCATGCTGACGGTCCCCAGTGTCTGGCCAAGATACACACACTCCATCTCTGTCCCTGCTGGGTCCTCCTTGGAAGATGTCCTGAAGAAGGCCCAGGAGCTTGGAGGATTCATGTGAGACCCCCCTCCCAGTGTTCACCCAGCTGGCCTCACATCCCAGGCATGGGATCGTGCCTAAAAAAGATGAGAGTGCTTCTTGTGTTATCAGAGGGGAATCTGGCCCAGAGGAGTTCAGAGCCTTCCATTAGGTCACCCAGACTTCTCTTCTGGAAAGATATGCCTCAGTTTGAGAGGACCCCAATTCCTGCCCCCAGTTGGGTTTCCCTGAAGCCACGGAGGGCCCACAGCTGGTGCTTTGGTATCATCTGGGCACAGAAAATTTCAGGCCAGAGAGACAGAGACAGAAAGAGAGAGAGGAAGAGAGAAAAACAGAGACAGTGTGCAGAGAGAAGTACTCTGAGCAGCCATGTGACACTCCCCGCCCCCCGAGCCAGTGTTAGGGACCACATGGCCCCATAGATTTAAGGAATGACTGGGGAAAGGAGGTTGCTCCATGACATCCCCTAAAACAATACTTCCCTTTTGCTTAAGTCACCCTGAATGAGTTTCTGTTTCTAAAAATTATACCCTCCCAAAGACCTAAACCATTGATAAGCCTTTTGGAGAGAGGAGGGACATGACCAGTCAAGTTTTAAGAGGATCCTTTGGCCATGGCATCCAGATGGACTGGAGAAATGCAAAGTTAGAGGCAAGGAGTTTGCGGAGGGGCTGTGGCTGAGGAGACTCTTGGCTGCAAGGGCCAGAATCTCATTCCAGTGCTCTCTGGTAATGGGGAGCATGGCGTATGTAGTCAGAGAGAAGACTGAGGAACCCAGCCACAAGAAGAGGGCACTGAACCACAGAAACTTCCAGACCCAGTGTTACTACCGTGTGTCGCTGTCCCCCATGTTCCAGTTTCTCTCCGCACTCTGGCTTCTCCCTCTCTCGCTGGACATTGGCGTTTTGTGTGTGATGCCGGCAGCTTCTGGTTCTCACTCCTACAACATCAGCCCTCAGAGAGGGGCCAGCTGCGGGGCTGATAATGTAACAATAGGTGCCTCTTCCTGAGGGCCATGGTCATGGTCAACAAAGAGGGGATGAAGCCCCCTGAATGGGCAGTGTCAGTGGGGCTGGAGAGGAGGCGTGGAGGTGAGACCCATGGCAAGGTAGCCCGGGAGGAGCGTGGTTAGCGCTGGCCCTGCGCTCCTGGCGTGGGGGAGCCCCACTTCTGCCCTTGGATTGATGGGAGCAAGAGTCACCTTTTCTCCCTCTTTTCCTGTCCCTTTGGTAGGTATGGAACACAGGCCTCCTTGTCAGGCCCTTACCTGACCTCCGTGATGGGGAAAGAAGTGGGAGAGCGCGAGTTCTGGCAACTTCTCCGAGCCCCCGACACCCCGCTGCAGCAAGGTGAGTCTGGTGGCCGGCCACCTCTGGGTGTGTCCCCTACCGCGGCCCTGTCCCAGGACTGAGGCTTTGTTAGCTCACCCCAGCTTTCCCCCGAACCTCCCTGCGCCCCAGCCTTGGATAATCATTGATGTTCAAGGTTGCATAATGTATTACTGAATTCTTGAGAATTTTAATGTAAGTTAATATGGCAACTCTAAAAAAACCAGAGAGGCAAAAAAAGAAAAAAAGAATATTCAAATGTCCTGTAATTTGCTACCCAGAAATAACTTCTTTTAACTTTTGGTGTATTTTCTTCCAGATAGTTTTTAAATATGTAAGTTTGTTGTTTCATTTAAAAAAAAAATAAAGGCATACCCTATAGCAATGTTGTCCAATACAAATAAAATGTGAGCCCCATATGTAATTCTAAATTTTCTAGTTGATGAAACTAATATTAGCAATATAATCTTATTTAACGCAGTATATCCCAAATATTATCATTCCAAGATGAAATCAATGTACAACTATTAATGACAGTTTGCATGCTTTTTTTAAACTAAGATTACAGGTGCTAATGGCTAGCATATCAGATGGTGCAGGTCTATATACTTCTTTGCAATATATTTAAAAAATTTTTAATATATTATAGATATCCTTCTATGTTGGTATACCTAGATCTTCTCATTTCTCTGTAATGGCCACATAGAATATGTTATCCACTAGGGCACTTTGGGTTGCAAGTAGCAAGAAATGCAATGCAAACTAACGTCCACAATTTGACATCTATTGGCCTATGTGACTGGAGCCCAGAGGGAGCAAGGACCTCAGGCTGGTGTAACCTGGGCTCCAGCCCACTTCCCTGGGACTCCCTCCCCCTCTCTTGGTTGGCTTCCTCCTCCAAAGAGGTCCTTCTGTGCCTTCCCAGGGCTGTTCCCTTTTAGGACTGAGGAAACTTGTCTGACTGCCCAGCAAACTTTTCCTGGTGTCTCAAAGGTGGAATGGTGACATAGACGCATTCCTGGGTTCATCCCTATTGCTAGGAGATGGCCCAGTTTCTGCAGCCACCATTGATTGGAGAGAAGGGATCACCACATGACTTGCTTAGGCCAATCGGGGCCCACCCCCGTGTCATGTACTGCGAAAGGGGGCATGGAGCAGGATGGGTGGACCTCTAGGTTGTTTCTCGTTTTACATCTTATGCCCCAAACTGTCATGAGCATCCTTGTGCAACACCTCAGTCACCAGACAGACTATTAAAGATCATCCGTCCCTGCTTCCGCTACCTGGAACTTCAACTGAGCACTTACCATGTACCAGCTATCAGACCAAGTGCTTTGTAGAAGGTGAGAACTTCCTGAGGAAGCCCCATAAGGAATGTTCTCTTTCCCTGCCTGGCTTATGAACGAACTGATAAATAAAACAAAGAGGTGGCAGATGAAGACCCCAGATCTGGCCTCTATTACTAATAACGGCTGGACGGGGGGATGTAGCCTGGCGGAGAGCCCAATGGACTCAGCCATGGAGCAAATGTGGACAGTTGTGTCCTTTACCTCCTGTCCCCTTCCCCTGGCCCCCCCCCCTCCAGCAGGAAACCCACACCCATAAGGAAGAGGGAAGGCCCGGTCACTGATGTCCTAATTATCCTCATTTCAGAAATGGGAAAAGCAGCACTCACAGGAGTTAAATAACTTGTCCAAAGTCACGCCAATAGTGAGTGACAGAGTTGGGGCTCGAGGCCAGGTGTCATGCTAGAGTCTGGGTTGTCTGCAGAGAATGGAGCCTGGCTCCTGGGAGACTTCACCTGTGGTCCCAGTTCTACCTCCCTGACAGCCCCTCAGGGACTATGAAGATAGTGACCATCAGGGGTTGTTAGGGTCTCTGCTTCCTTCCACCGTGGTTACCCAGTATGCCGTCCCTTACCCCCAACTTCTGGAGACTGCCCGATTGCAAAATGAGGCTGTGGGCCTCGGGGACCCTAGGTCACAGCCGAGTTCAGAGTCTCCGCACTGGCTCTGGACAGCCCCCAGTTTCCTACCACCAGGCCATGAGCAGATCTAAAGCACCCTGACCTCGGGGTGGAGGTCCAGAAGCTGAGATGGGAGGTGGGAGACTTTGCCCTGTTAACGCCCCCGCTCAACCTGTTTCTGCAGGGATTGCTGACTACAGACCCAAGGATGGAGAAATCATCGAGCTGAGGCTGGTTACCTGGTAGCCCCCAGCTTACCTACCTCAGCCTCCTTGAACAACCTCTGCACTTCTGTCCTCTGTCCAGATGTCACTGAAACAGGCACAAGCCTGACCCTGCCACCACCTCACGTGCACTTAGAACAACGTCCTTGGACCGCCCAACCACCACCCCTGCAAGGCTCCTAAGCCACTGCCCACCTGGGAGAAGGGAGCCAAGCAGCTTCCCCAGCATGTCTGTCTGCCTGGGTCTGGCCCAGCCTGGCCCTAAGACAGCCCGTGAAGGACACCCATAGTCTGGAGGGCATGAAGCATCTCAGACTCCTTAGCATAAGAAGTCTGCTGGCCACTGGCATTGAGTACCACCTGTTCTGAGATTAGGGTCCTACAAGGAGACCTGTATGGCCCAGGGGCCGCAGCCCCAAGCCTGCCTCTCCAGTCCATTGTCAGGGCAGCGGCCGCAGAGCTAGAGCTATGGCCTAGCGGCCAGCAAGGGCCCTGCGGGGCTGCTCCAAGCCTACCTTCAAAATGATTAAAGTGTTGACTGTGCACATGTCCCAGCATCCTGGTGCCTCGTGCTAGGGAGCAAGTGCAGGTGCCGTGAGCAGAGAAAGGGGAGAATCCTCCGGGCAGGGAACAGAGGAGGGTGGGCGGCTGTTCTGGGTTCTGGGGGCAACTATGCTGGCAATGGTGCTGTTGACTGCTATTTAGGGAGCAGGCACTTGCTAGACACTTTCTTGCATAACTTTGAGGTTTTCGATATTTTTGTTGTCATCTCTCCTTTACAGATAAGGAAACTAGTGTTCAGAGGGGGGAAAATGGGACACCACAGTGTCAAGCACAGCTTAGGGGATAGGCAGAACTGGCCTGGGGCGGCCTCTTGCTCCTTCACTCAAACACTGAAAACTGGAGGCTTCGAGGATTGTTATGATTACATGGTGGAGGCCAAATTCAACTGGAGGCCCAGGACCCTGTAGCTTCAGGCCTCACCCCTGGCTTTTCCCCAGCGCAGCGAGGACACCAACCCAGGCCTCAGCAGCCAGGGTGCAGGGACCCTGCCTCTCAGTGGGAAGGCTCTGGACTGTCCTCTGGGAAGTGGGGCTCAGGCCAGAGAGACACCCTGCACACCCCAGCCCGCTGAGGTTAGGACGGGGGCCTGCCCGCGGAGGGGCCGTTTGGCGGGCAGCACGTCCGGCAGGTTTTATAGCGGTCCACACGGAGTCCTCAAAACCGCAGGTTAAACATGTGCCTCTTCCTAGAACACCAGTTTCAAAAATGTAGGGTCCAGGTACGCAGGGGAAGCAGGCAATTAAAAAGTTCTTTTGTATTGAAACAAACACCGGAGTAGCGGAAAGCCCAAATGAAAAGGTGGCCTCCGTTTTTAAGGTGAGGCGTCCGTGTCCAGAACCCAAGTCCTTCCATAATCACGGCCTGGGGTTCTTCCAGGAGGACTCAGGACCCGCTCTGTGACTCTTCCCTTCACAACCCTGTCACAGAGCAGTAGCGACTCAGAGGTCTGCAGGTGGCATCAGGTCACACAGTCTGGAGGAAGCAGAGCCCAGATCCTCACCCACTGGCCCCAGCTCTGGGCACTTGCCACTGCACCACCGTGTCGCCTTGCCACCCCTTGAGACACCAGCTGAGAAGCCACGCACCGTTCCCACACAGGGGACAATGACTGTGGCTGCTCTTAGGCCAGGTTAGAGAGAGGGCCGGCGGTAAACCCTGGGAACGCCCCTGCACTCAGCTTCCGGGAGTCCATGCGCTGGGTGTGATCCACCCTCCAGAGGGGCTGTCTTAGTCAGGGTGTGTTCAGCTACTGAATCTTGATCAAATCAGGATCTTTGCTCACCAAACTTGGGGGCAGCCAAGGACGGCAGGGAAATGGAAGTTGGGTTCAAGTCTCCGTCACCTCCACAGTCCTCAGGCCTTCTCCGTGTCCTCACCCTCAGTCCGAGTGTGACGCCAGCAGTGACTGTGCTCCCTTTCAGTTCAAGCCCCTAGCCCCCTGTGTACCAAAGCCTGGCAAGGGGTCTGACCGGCACAGCCCACCTATGGACGCTGGGTCAGGCGTCTGGCCCTCGCAATTGGCTGGACCCTGGGAATGGGTGTGGCTGAGAGAACAGTCCTGTCTGGTGCAGTCTGCTAAACACAAGCCCTCCTTGGGGACCAGGGGCCAGGACTGTGTTCAGCTTGTGTTCAGATCTGGAGGACTCCAGACAAACCACTTCCCCTCTCTCAGCCTATTTCTTAACTCACAGGTATGGGATGGTGCCTTGGCTGAAACAGCATGTTTATGCCTGTGACCTCATCAGAGATCACAAATGGGGAAACTGATGTCCCAGTGGTGATTTGTCTAGGGACATTCAGCGAAAATAGGGGAGGTCTGTTCCACAGCCTCTGTAGCCCGGTTGCTAGAAACAGGTCCTTCTCCTCTCCTGGTGCCTCCCAGAATCCCCGCCCAAATCACCTGCTTCCACAGCAGCACCGTGGGCCCCCACAGGGCAGCAGTCAGACATGGGACATCTGAGAGTCTGTGGGCAAAGATAGGAGGCTCTGGGATGTCGTGGGCTTTCAGGTAGACCTCAAAGAGTAAGAGGGAGCCCCCTGATGCCCTCCCTGAACCTGGGTGACTCAACCCCCCTTCTCCCAGAAGGGAGAGCCCTGGTTAAAAATGGGCTCTGGAGCCAGACAGACCTGGTCTAAATTCCCAAGCACTACCCTGGGCACCTTGATTCTGTCCCCTCACTGAGCTCTTTGTGGCACCCCACTCCGGGAGTAACTGCAGAGTAGGGGGAATGGAGCCCTCTGTCCCTGGCAGCCAGTGGCGTTGTATCTTTCTGCACCCTGGCTCTTCTGCGCTCCCATCTGGGATCATCTGCTGGGTCAGCCGCTTCAGGTTCTGACCTCAGCCTTCCTGTGCAGCTCTCTCCATCCCACAAGGGCACCCAGGCTTCACCTTGGTTAATCTTCATTCTTCATAGCCCCGCCCCTCGCCAGGCAGGGCAGGCGGGACCCACTCTGTGGCAGTCTTGGAGGAGGTATAGACAGATTTTCACTGCCTACCACTTCCCCCACCAGCTCAGCTCTGAGGTCAGGGTGTTTATTGTTTTTTAAAAATTATTATTGTCTTTTTATTAAAGGAAATTTACTGGAAAGCTCACAGAATGCCACAAAGAATATAACCCTTAAGGGGCCATGATTCCTCCTATTCAGGAAATGTAGAGGGAGAGCCATGCCCCTTTGGGGCCTCAGTTTCCCTCCTACAACCCTGTCTACCCCCATTTGGTGTCCTTGACCTGGAAATCTCCTGCCATACAGTCTGGGATACTCAGCACTGACTTGCAGGCTCCAGGGGGCGTCATAATCACCAGGGGCAAGTGTGAAAATTTAGATTCCTAAGCCCGCCATAGAGCGTCTGATTGAGCAGGTCTCCAGTGAGACTGGGGTTTTTAAGTCCAGATCCAAATATTGTTATGGGGGGCTGGGACACTTGCAGCCATTCTGCGACCTGACCACCAGAGGGCGCCCCAGACCGTGCTAAGTGGTCTCCGTGTGCGGTCTAGTCCCTGCAGACAGACTGCTGTCATCTAAGACAGGCTCTAGGGATGAGCCGCGTCCAGTGGGGAGGAGCTTCCGCAAAAAAGGAAGCCCCACGTCCGGAAAGACGCTAGCAGCCCGCACTGGACACCTGGCTCAGAGAGGCCAGGGCTGAGCCTGAAATCTAGATCGGCCTGTTCTGCGCTGGGGCATCCCTCGTTCAGATGGGAACGCTGAGACCCAGGAAGGGGCAAGCGCTTAGTGGCAGCTGCTCTGCGTCCCAGCCAACCCAGGGCTCTTTGTCCTGCCAGGGCTGAGGGCAGAGGGTGGACCCCAACAAGTGCAGTTATGAGTCAGCTCTGAGTGCTCAGGAGTTGGGAAAGGGGCTGGCCAGGGATGGATGCTGGCCAGCGCTACCCTGCTTCCGCATCTGTGGTAGCCTTGGTGATTCAGCTCTCTCTGCCTGCCTAGAGGGGCCCGCCCTGGGCTCGGGGGAGAGAGGAGGTGCTGGGAGAGGCCTTAAGGGTCCCCGTAGTCCAACTCTTCTGGATGCTGAGGTCCCACGAGATACCTGTGGCTAGATGTCGGGAGGTCCTGAGATCAGTCCTTGGGAAGGAGGCCCCTGGGGGAGTACTAGAAGATGGAGTCTCCTGTGAAGCTGGGGATTTTTACCGGGCTCTCTCAAAAAAGATACTCCAGTGTCTCCCTCCCTGTTTTCGTCTCTATGGGAGATTCGCCTTGGCTCTGGGTTGGGAGGGATCTGATCCTCCACCAGTGGGGGGAGGAGGGTCAGACTGGCTGACCGCTTCAGCTGCGGGGGTAGTCTACAGAAGGAGGGAATGCAGGGCCGATCCAAGAGGGTGGTGTGGGGGCGGGGCGAGACGTCAACCCCAGCTCCAGGGACTCGGCCTGGCCAGGGGCGGGGCCAGGGGCTCAGCCCAACTTTCCGGGTGGGGCGCGGGCGGTGGCGGCAGCGGAGGCGGGGCCAAGAGCGTGGAGCCTCGCCCGGCTGGCGGCTGGCGGGCCGGGCTGAAGCTCAGGCAGCGGGGAGCTGCTGCCCGACCCACAGCCGCAGCCCGAGCCGCAGCCGAAGCACCGGGAGCTGGAAGATAGGCCTTGCCGGAGTGGAGCCGAGCCGAGCTCGCCGCCTGGCACCGGCCGGAGCGCGGGCCTGGGCACAGTCGGCGGCAGCGAACCGCGACTACCGGGCACCACCCGACAGGACACAGGAGCCTGGATCATCCCTGCCAGGCCCGGGCATGGCTTGAACACTCAGGAGATCCCGGAGTCTGGACCAAAGAGGAAAAGGAACAAGAATTCCATCTAACATAACGTCAAGAAGAGTGGAGACTTGGCCTGGCACGGGGCAGATGTGCCCAAAGCCTACTAGGCCAGGCTTGAGCACCAGAGAGCCTGGCATCTCCAGCAGCCACGACCTGGGCGCTGCCCTGCTTGAGCAAGGAACACAGCATAGCTCCTGGACCTCGGCTGGCACAGGCCTGGCAGAAGAAGTGGTTATCTCACCTGTCTGAAAGGAAAGTGAGGATCTGAGAAACCAGGATCTGGCCTGGACCGAAGTGGGGCTCTCTGGTGGCCCAGAGCTGGTCACCGGGGAGTTGGCCTTCTGCCACAGCCCCACTGGTCCGGATGTGCCGCTGTCCTCTGGAGCACCATGACGGCAGGATGACCTCTGCTGAGGCAGGAGCAGAGACTAGCAGGGCTCGGGTGGCGGGGCCCCCTGAGTGGCCCCCTGATACCCACCAGGCCCCTGGTCGGCCTGGCCGGGCCCGGGTGGCCGTGGCAGCACTAGTGTGGCTGCTGGCGGGAGCCAGCATGTCCAGCGTCAACAAGTGGATTTTCACGGTGCACGGCTTTGGGCGGCCCCTGCTGCTCTCGGCGCTGCACATGCTGGCAGCAGCGCTGGCCTGCCACCGGGGAGCACAGCGCCCCATGCCCAGTGGTACCCACCGCCAGGTGCTGCTGCTCAGCCTTACCTTTGGCACCTCGATGGCCTGCGGCAATGTGGGCCTGAGTGCTGTGCCCCTGGACCTGGCACAGCTGGCCACCACTACCACGCCACTGATCACACTAGCCCTGTCGGCGCTCCTGCTCGGCCGTCGCCACCACCCGCTGCAGTTCGCCGCCATGGGCCCGCTCTGCCTGGGGGCCGCCTGCAGCCTGGCCGGTGAGCTCCGGACACCACCCGCTGGCTGTGGCTTCCTGCTGGCTGCCACCTGCCTTCGTGGCCTCAAGTCCGTTCAGCAGAGTGAGTGCCGGGGTCACTGTTTGAGGAAGTGGGGGTCAGGGTGGGTGTGTGGCCTGGATGGCCCTATGAGGGATGTGGCTATTATCCCAATTTACAGATGAAGAAACTGAGCCTCATGGCTTTGGAAGAGGCAGAAACTGAGACTCAGAAAGAGCCAACAACTCAGTGAGTTCCAGGCCCCAAGCTTAGGCTCTAGGCACCCAACTGATATTTAATAATAGTTGACATTGACCTGTGTCCCATATTTTGTTTCTTTATCGCACTGGATCTCCCCATAGTGCCCTGATCGAGGAAATCACTATATTGTCTTGTCCTCATTTGACCCGTAGAGAGGGTTGCCCTGGGCCGTGTGGCCAGTGAACAGCAGAGGTAAGACTTGAACCCGAGCAGTCAGTCCGCATGCTGCCCAAGATGTGGCATAAGGCTGTAGCGCCGGAGGGAGACCTGACAGTGGGGACCAGGGAGAAAGGGCAAGGGCTTGAACTGGGATTTGGAAGGCCGAGGGTTTGGCTGAGTCCGGGAAGGGTCCGTGTTTGCTGGGGGTTGCAGTGTAACAGCCCAGCGCTGGGTGTTGACCTCGAGTCATCAAGGCAACCACCACCTTTACCCCCGTTTTATAGGTGATGGAACTGAAACCCAGAGAGGTTTGTCATTTGCCCAGGGTTACCTCACCTCTGATGACAGGAGACAGGGGACTGAGCAGAGGGTGGGTGGAGGCCCCAGGCCTAGACCCTGTTAAGTCTGTCTGAGGGTGGAGGCCACCTTCCTGCCTGTCCTTCTAAGGGGAGTCTGTGTCATAACCCCACTCTCTCTCTGCCTAAACCCAAGGGAGAGGCCAGGGCACCCACTCGGGGCAGGGAGGCTGCAACTCTGCTCAAACTGGGTGACCTTAGGCAGCCCGGAGTCTTGTCAGGGCCTCAGTCTCCCCATCTGTTTGGTGGAGAAGAGTTGGAGGCTCTGGAGTCCCAGAGGCCTCTTATGCTCCCTCCCTTCAGACTCTGAGATCCTGTGACCCCGGCATGCGAGAAGGAAGGGGTGCCCCAAGGACACTGGGCTAGGGTTGGGGGGTGGCCTGCAGCCATGGAAGGTTGAAATCAGGATTCAGCCTTGCCTTGGCATCTTCAGAGACAGGACCCATAGGCCCTGTCCCCATCCTCCCAGGCCTGTGGCAGGGCCGAAGCTTAGTTCTATTTTTGCCCTCAGGTTATATGAGAGCCAGTGACTGAGCTCAGGCCCTGAGTTCTGGGCATGAGTCGGCAGTAGGAAACCTGACCCCATGGGCACACCTACTCCCCCGCCCCCCAAACCAGGCAGAGCCACAAGGCCAGGCAGGCTCCAGCCTTGAGGCCCACACCATGCCTGTGAGGTCCAGAACTCCTCACCCAGAAGGAACCCCAGCTGCAGAATGAGCTATGGCTGGTCAGGACCCAGGCACACAGGCACAGAGTGGCACAGAGGCCACTTCTTGATCTTTGCCAGCTCCTCCCACCTCTCCCGTGTCCACTGCCTGGCCTCTGAGGTGGGCAGGATGCTTGCTTCATGCTCCGACAGCACCCTCTGCCCCCCACATCAAGACTTCGAATGCCCCATATTATAGCCACTTGGTTATCTGTCTGTGTCCCATCAGAGAGGAGCTCTGAGAGAGCTCCTATGAACTAGGTTGGGGCACCTCCATGTCCCCAGCACCTGGTCTGAGACCTGGCACTGGACAGGTACTCCTCAAATGGTAGATTTATCAATGGTGCTGACAGCAGAATCGGCAGGCTGGCTGGGCCACATGGCTCAGGGTGCTCATGAGGTAGCTTAGAGGAGGGTGGGGGTCCCACAAACAGAGAGGGGACACAGCAGAGAAGGGGGGAAGAGATCAGAGCCAGTGGAGTGGCATGGGTTTTGGACAAGAGGGGGTTTCTACTTCCAGAGGTTCCAGGAAAGGCACCAGGGTCAGATTAAAGTGTAAATGGCCGACACTAGCTCCTTCTGTGAGAGCAGACTTCAAGGGAGCAGAGGGTGATAGTCCAGGGAGGGGAGCACCCAGGCAGCCATGGGCAGGGCCAGCAGCCTCCCTCCTACCTGGGCCAGTTGCAGACCTGGGGGCTACGTGGGCAGAGGAGTGATGCCAACTTCCCACTCACAGAAAAGCTAAGAAGTGGGGCATGAACTTGTTCTCAACTGAACTCACCTGCATCAGGGAGCATCCTGACCTGATCTCTGTCCTCTGAGCTTTCAGGCTGGTGGGGAGACGCCCTCGAAAACAGACATCACAATGACAGGAGGGAAACTCCAGAGCCAAGGTAGACACGGGTGTGGTCAGGGCAGTCACTTATAGAGGAGACCAGAGAAGGCTGCCTAAGGAAAAAGACATGCAGTGAGCGATGACAATAACAATAATATAATCATAGTAGCCAACACTTGCTGAGCCCTCGCTGTGTGCCCATGCTATGTCCAGCTCTTCACACAGCAACAACAGGAAAGTGCATTCTGGGAGCAGGAAACAGGCTGTGCCAGGGCACGGAGTATCAGCCAGAAGGAGCAGAGGGTGTGTGGGACTGAGACAGCTGCCATAGTGAGCAGTTACCACGGGGCACCAGGCCCTGTGCTCAGGCCTCACACAGCTATGGAAGGGGGGCACTGTCGTGTTCCCAATGCCACACACATGGAGACAAGGTGTAGAGAGAGGGCGGCTTGCCTGCACACAGCTAGTGAAGGAGTGAGGACGGGATAAGCCAGTAGCCAGCGGAACAGGGTCTAGAGAACATATTTGTCTGCATGTGGCAGAAGCTTAGGCATGTTTGGATGCTCAGACAAAAATGCCTTTGGAGAAGGAGAGGTTGCAGTGGAAGGCTTGGGTGGGGGGCTGGCAGAGGAGGGGTCGCTAAGGAGTCGGGATGACAAGCTGACATTTTGGGGGCTCTGGGTGGGGTGAGCTACGTCTGGCAGATGATTACCACTCTCTCTGGGCTGCAGGGGAGTGAGGCGGAGGGCTGGGTGGGATGCAGAACAGGCTCAGAGGCTGGGTGAGGAGGTTAGGACCTTCCCGTCTGACTGTCTCGCAGAGGTGAAGTTCACCCGAAATCCTGAACACCTTTCAATGATTGGACCTTTAACATGCAGGCCACAGACAGCTTGTACAGTGCTAAATTTGGAGCGAACGAGCAGGAGGTATTCCAATTATCTGTTCATTTCTAGAAATGCTCAAGCCAAAGGGACTGTTGCCTAGAGAACAAAGCCAAAACATCAAAATGAAGTAGAGAGAGATTTCCTATTCTAAGCATAGCCTCTGAATAAGCTCCTCGGTGGCTCTTTGGAAAGAGTGTGTCAGAAAATGCACAGAGGCTTGGAGAGCCCCTGGATCGATTACTCATCTGTCTCTGCTAAAGCTTGGCCGAGGTCCCAAACCATCATTGCCTTCGTGCAGATACTACCATTCACGTGCATTGCGTCTGACTTTGATGATGGGCGCCACCTCCTTGGTGAACTGGCTGGGTGGTAACTGTATATGCAGGCACACACTCACACATGTGCAAGGGGGTAGGATCCCCTCTTTTTTTACAAAGCTGAAACGTTTCCCCTCAGTCCCGGATTCATCGCGACAAGCCCCGGTGTTGGTCGCAAAGGATGCTGAGTAGTGAATGACAGCCAAGCGCAAACAATGACGTTTTTGTTGTTTCTTGTCATCCCAGTGGTCATAAGTGAATGAAGCAATGAATGGACCTAATATTTGACTCAAAATTTATTATTTTAAAAATCTTTTTTTTTTTTTTTTTTTTTTTTTTTAAGGTAAAGGCCATATTGTTAAGTAAGTGGTAGAGCTGGAGACTTCGGCTGGCCGGTCCCTGCTACGATGGTGGGAGCTACTCTGTGGGGTAGTGGGTGTGCTAAGGGCTGAGATCTAGAGAGGTCTGTCAGGGCCACTTAGCGCAGGGCCTTCAAAGCTGGTTAAGAACCCAGGATACTGTTCCCCAGGGCCTGGGGAGCCCCTGAAAGTTTTTTTGAGAGGGAGCCACACTTCATGTTTATTGATCATTTGAATGTCACTAGTAGGTGATTGTTTTAGCCTTATGGAAAGCAGTTTGAAGGGGGTGATAACAGGCCTATTTATTTTATCCTTTTACATTTACTGAACACTTACTGTATAAAGGGCTTTATGTGTGTTATCTATTTTAATCTTTATAAAAGCCCTTGCGTGTTAGGGTTTTTTATCACCTAACTTTGCAGATGAAGAAACGTAGGCCTCCACGGGTGAAGTGAAGGTCCAGGTCACAGCTAGGAAGGAGTAGATACAGGTCACAACCCAGGCAGTATGATTCTGCATTCTTGGTTATCTTGTTACTGAGCAAGAGCCACTAACTCTGCCCGAGGGGCTGGGTCACGCTTTCTGGAGGATGGGCCTTGGAGGTCACGCAGGGTTGGGGAAGCGAGGGTTTTCTCCCCACCAGGTGCTGATGGCTGCTGTCCTGGTTGCAGGTGCCCTGCTGCAGGAGGAGAGGCTGGACGCGGTGACCTTGCTGTATGCCACCTCGCTGCCCAGCTTCTGCCTGCTGGCAGGTGCAGCCCTGGTGCTGGAGGCTGGTGTGGCTCTGTCACCTGCTCCCACTGACTCCCGCCTCTGGGCCTGCATCCTGCTCAGCTGCCTCCTGTCCGTGCTCTACAACCTGGCCAGCTTCTCCCTGCTGGCTCTCACCTCTGCCCTGACCGTCCACGTCCTGGGCAACCTCACTGTCGTGGGCAACCTCGTCCTGTCCTGGCTCCTGTTTGGCAGTCGACTCAGTGCCCTCAGCTACGTGGGCATTGCGCTCACCCTTTCAGGAATGTTCCTTTACCACAACTGCGAGTTTGTGGCCTCCTGGGCTACCCGCTGGGGCTTCTGGAGGAGGAGGAACCAGCCTGGCAAGGGTCTTTGAGGCCTGGGAGAGCACCTGTGCTGTCTGGGACAGCCCCAGTCTGAATCTAACCTTGGCCAGTGACCATGGGCAAAGTGGAGAGCAAGCGGCCACTGGGGCCATGGGAGGGAGAGGCGCCTTCTGGAAAGGCGACCTTGGAGGCTGGAATGGGGCCTCCCAGAGAGACCCACCTGTCCCTGCCTGCCTCTCCTCATCACAGGCCCCACCCACCACTGGATGGTGGGTCCAAGCCTGGCACAGTCACTGTGCTTATCAGAGTAATTATTATTAATATCATTGACTATGCCAAAAATTGCTGGCCAAACTTTGAGAACCTCACCGTGTTCTGATGACGACGATGACGATGCTTGGCGGTTGCACAATCCTTCCTCCTGGGAGTAGGGGAAGCAGTTCGGAGGCCCAGAGAAGGGCTTCTTGCTGCTGGGCTCCTCTGGGGAGGTGGGGTCGTGTGTGCCAACCCCTGGCAGCTACTGCGGCCTCAACTCTGGGCCCCCCAATTTTGGGTCTTCCGTCCTCAAATAAACTATTTTTGCTTGTACACCTGTGTCATTCCTTGGGGTTACAGCCAAAGAAATAGAGGGAGAGCGACGGGCCCCCTGGCCTCCAGCCATCTGCAGAAAAACAAGGACGTCTTCTCTTACCCACTGTGACCTGTCCAGGCTCCAACTTAGTCCCATTGTCTAAAGTCCCTCCACTGGCCAGGCCAGCATTGCCCATCTTCTGGAGGGCAACAGTGGCTTCTTCCCTGCCCCACTCTGAGCCCTCCACTCCAACTTCCACACAGCCCCCAGAGGGATCTTTCTAAAAGATCACGCCTTCTGTAGCCCCATACCTCTCAGAAAAAAGTCAGAACTTCCTGCCCCAGACCACAAGGCCCTCAGGGTCTGGCCCCTACAGGCTCTCCAGGCTCCGGTCTCACTTCTCCTCTCGGGCCTCCACCTTCCAGCCTCATGACTTCCTTTAAGTCCCCCATATTGTCAGACCCACTCACCAGAACCTTTGCACGTGCTGGCCCCTCTGTCTGCTGTTGTTTCTCTATATATCCTTCTCCCATTCATGGCTAAACCCTGGACTGGGGGAGAAAACCCAAACATGCAACTCGCTAGAAAAAAAAAAAAAAAAAAAAGGAAGCTTGGTGAAGGAAGGGTCTTGACAAGGGACTCTGCCCAGGGCTGTGGGTGAAGAGGGCAAGGAATCAGGGTGTGTTCACGGAAAAGGGAGCATTCAGCAGTGGGGATCTTGTGGGTTGACCGAGGGGCTTGCCGGGGAGGATGGCTGTCATATTAAGAACGTAGGGCAGCAGACATAACCCCTAGGGCCATTCCAGCCTCCCCCACCCCCTCACCTGCTGGCTGAACACAGCTTCACTTCTCCCTCATCTTTTCCTTGGCTCTGTGTGCTCAACCTCCCTGCCCCACCCCTCTCCCCCTACAGCTGCCTCTGCAGGAGATGGCCTATTAAAAACAATAAGGGTCCTGTCTGGATTAGGGAAAATGGGGACCAAATTCTGCTCTGCCTACTTCACTGTGTACCTTAGGTAGGTAGCCTCCCTTCTTTGAGCCTCAATTTCTGCATCTGCAAAATGGGGCTGATGATCTCCACAGAGAGGATTCCAATGAGGAGCCTGGTGTGCTGGGCCCAGGAAGAAGAGGGGTGATGGTGTCAGCTGGCTTAGGCCCTATCTTGGGCTATCATCTTATCATATGCTTTCTCCAGCCCCATCTGGAAAGTGAGCCAGTATCCCCTTTCTCTGTGAGAATGGGAGCTAGAGTAGGTTGGAGCTGGCATCTCGGGGGCCTGGGACTCAGGGAGGAATCATTCATTCACACAGCCAGAATTCATGGACGACTGCTATGCCAGCCAGGGCCAGGTAGTGCTGCATGAGGGCGTGAGCCCAAGGCCAGGAGTTAACCTGGTCCAGTAAGGACACATGCAAGATTTCCTGGCCTTGACCTCTATCCAGGCTGGCCTTGCGGACAGAAGTGGGCTCAGAGTGAGTCACTTACCACACACCCTCCCTGTGACTCAGAGATGCCAAAGGCCCAGCCCTGTCCCAGTATAGCCTGGGCACCTCCAGGATCCATTCTGTGGCTTGGACAAATAGGACAGAGGATAGGCAGCTTTGGGTGGGTAAAGCCTCCTTGGTACTCAGGACCATTCCTCATTCAAGGGGGCTTCCTGTCATAGCAGGAGCCTCCCTGCAACCCCCTTTCCTGGGCTCCTGGGCCCAGTGGAATGCTTGGCTTAAAAGTGAGCCTCTTGTCAGATGAAGGCCTGCCCCTGGTGTTTGTGGGGGTGAGATGGGGAGAATTGAAGTAGTGCTTGACCTGGGGTCTGGCATGTCACCAAACCCAGGACCATCCAGCATTGAGGTGATCTCCCCAAGATCATTCTTGAAGTCTGCCCTATTGCTCTTCCCCGAGTGGGCAGAGAGCACTCAGCTGGGAGTCAAAGCCTGGGTTTAACGCCCCTTTCTCAAAACACGAGCTGTCTAGTCTCTCCTTGCTTCACAGTATCATTGGGAGAGAGGATCACAGGGCTAACTAGCAGGAAGGGCTTAGAGGGTGAATCGCATTGAAAGGCCACTGTCCCCCTAGACTCTGCCTCTTACTAGTTCTATCACCTCAGGCAAGTTTCTTCACCTCTCTGAGCCTCACTCTTTGTACCCAGTCCCTGCTGTGAAGCCTCCTCAGAATTGCAGAAGCCACCTTCCTTGGGAAGCTCTTCCCTGCCCCCACCCTGGTTCTGCCCCAAGCCCAGCTGATCTTTAGGTCACCCCAGCTCCCTGCACTTCTCCAGGCAGAGCCCTGTGCACATTCCATTCTCAGAACTGGTTTATCACCTTTTCTCCACCAGAATGAGCTCTGGGAAGGCTGAGACAACCATCCTGCTCACCACTGTCTCTCCAGGGCTGGCCCAGATAAAGTAGGCAGAAGAGAGTATTAGTCAAGAGCAGGGGCCAGACCTGATCAAATCCTAGCTCTGGCATGTCTAAGCCATGTGACTCTGGGCAAGGATTGTCCTCTCTTCTGCCTCTCTGGAGTGGGGGCAGCAGTAGAACCTAATCTCGTGTATCTCTGGGAGGCAACAAGTGCTTAGCAACAGTGCCTGGAAGCTAATAGGTCCTCAAGAAAGTTTAATAGACTGACTCACTACAGATACCCAGGCACCAGCCCAGTTCCTCCTCTGAGGTTTCTCAGGCTGCCCCCACCCCCAGCTTTCTATTGCACATTGAGAGCCCCGAGGGCATGCTCTTGCTGGAGCCGAGCTGGATGGATACCCCAGTTCCCACCACCTATCCCTGCCTTGGAGGAAACAGGGGAAGCTGGGTCTCTCCTGGGCATCCTGCCATTGTGAATTCAGAACAAAGCTGCTGCCTTGTCTCAGCCCCAGCTGCCAGGGGCTGCTCCTAGACTCCCCAAGGGGCCTTTGGATTGTCGTTCCAGGGGCCAGGGCAAACAAGGACTCTTCTGGTTTCTACTCTGCTCCCATATCAGTTTACAAATGGCAGAAACTTGCGCTGTTCCCGCTTGGTTGCAAATGCTTCCTGGAAATAACACAAAACACAATGGAGAGCCATGGAAGGGTTTGCGCAGGCAAGAGCTATAATGTTCAATAAGCACTTCTTGATAATGGACATTCAGTTTGGTCTGGATCATGTGTGGATGAGATTTTGAAGGGGCAGGGAAACCAGGGAAGAGCTATTATTGTGGTTCAGGTAAGCAGATGACAGTGGGGACAGTGTCTTATGTACAACACATAGTAGCATCAGTTGTATTGATTTGGGGTAACAAATTATCCCCAAACATTATGGCTTAAAGCAACAAAAATATGAATTATTTCACAGTTTCTGTGGATCAGGCATTTGTGAGTGGCTTAGTGGAATAGCTCTGGTTCAGGGTCTGTCATGAGATTGTAGTCAAGATATTAGCCAGGGCTGCAATCATGTGAAGGCTTGACTGAGGGTGGAGCACCCACATTCAAGAGGGGCCATTCACATGGCTGTTGGCAGGAGGCCTCAGTTCCTTGCCATGTGGGCCTCCCCACAGGGCTCCTATGACATTATGGTGGGCTTCCACCAGAGTGAGTGATTCAAGAGAGCAGGAAGCCACAATGTCCTTTTTGACCCAATTTTGAAAATCACACTCATTTCTCTAATACTCTCATTTATTAGTTAATTCTAATATCATCATTTCTCTAACATCTTATTGGGTACAGACCAATCCTATTCAATGTGAGCATGAATACCAGAAGGAGATCACCGAAATCATCCCTGAAGTTGGCTACCCCATCAGTGAATGGTGAGTGAGTGATGGAGCAGGACACAGCCTGGGGTCATGGGGAATTCATCTGGAAGCTTCCTGCTCCAAAGTAGAATATCTTGTCAGCAACACCTCTGCATCCTTCATAACACAGCACCATACAATCCTGGCCCACAGCAGGCACTTGGCAAGTGCACATGGTGATGAGCCCTGGCTGGGTGGCTCAGCTGGTTGGAGTGTAGCCCCATATACCAAAAGGCTGCAGCTTTGATCCCCGGTCTGGGTGCATATTAGAATCAACCGATTGATATTTCTTGCTCACACTGATGTTTTTCTCTCTAAAATCATTAAAAATATCCTTGGGTAAGGTTTTAAAAAAAAACCCCAAACCATGGTGACTGATTTCAGAGTGCCACATCTGGGGCCTTGGTCAGCTGTTTTCTGTATTTAGAGGCCGGAGGGGCGCATTCTTATGGCCACCACAGATGGCATTGTGACTCCTATTTTACAGAGTAGGCAGAATTCCAGAAAAACTGCAGGGCCTGCGTGAGGTCACAAAGCAGGATGAGAACCCACGACTCTTGACTCTCATCCCAAGCTCCTCCCTAGTGATATAGATCCTCAGTTTAGAGATGCAGGTTGATGGATTCTTAGGGCATTTGGACGTAACATCCCAGGATAGGTAAGCGGGGCTGTGTACTTCAGGGTCAAGAGTAACTTGTCGCTGGGATTTATAATGAGCTTACCATTCCAACAGAGGTCATTCAGGGAAATCCCCAGGGCCATAAGCATGTCCCTATTCATCTGACAGGGCATTATAAATTTCACAGAAACTACTCAAACCAAATTTAATTGATTTTAATTCATAATAATGAAAGAGATTTTGCACTTTTGGAGTGGGAAAGTTAAAGGTTCATGAAATTTACCAGAGGCCTGGGACTCCTGCTCCAAGCCCAGCTTTTGGGCTGTGAGGACCATTTTATTCTCCCCGACGGCAGACTTGCATTGAAACTCCAACAAGACTTTCTTTTCCTAGGTTGTCTGAGTAAAGGACCACTCTGCTCTTAGTCTCAAAGAAATAGAGTGAACTGTTTGGGAAAAGGACTTGGACCCTCTCAAGAGCCCTCCACCTCAACCTCTCCCACTTAAGATGTGAAACCCTGGTCCCACCACATCCAATTCTGAATATAAAAAATATAATTTAGAAAGAAAGATCCAAAATTATATCTTCTCAACTATAAAAATATTCATAGAAGGAAGAAAATATACCAGAATACAAGAACGTTGACTTGGTTACTGCTTGAAGATAGTATTGTAGATGGACTGTATTTGTTTTCCTTTTCCTACAAACAGGCATGAGGGAAAAATAAATTTCTTAGGGTTCTAGTGCTGAGTAAGATAGAGTAAGCATAGTTTGTCCTTCCTCCTGAAATACAACTGAAAACCCTGAACAGAATGCATGAAGCAGCTATCTAAGGACTCTAATGGAGAAATGGTAGGTGGATTGGGAAAGGAAACCAGAACTTGAAGTATAAACAATCTGGTGGCAAGTTTCTGTTTTGTTCCTGTATCTCCTGGCCTAGTCGCTAAGGCAGTGTGAATCCTGGAACTGTGCATTGGACACGAAAAGAACCCCAAGACAAGCCCTGTCTTTGTGGTCTGAGGAGTAGGAAGGGGGCAGGATGGACAGAATAAGGGAAATACAATTCTTTTTCTTTTCCATCTGGCCCTGCCCCCAAGGCAAGCCTTACTGAAGTTGAAACTTGGCAGCAGCGGCAGCAATGACATCTGAAAAAGCACCTGAAACTCTGAGGGGGAATCCTTTTCTCTGACCAAAAGAACTGTGGCCTGAGAAGTGTGTGTGCAAGGAGGAATCCCCATTTCCCTTTTCTCTCTTCATATCGGCACTTGGCCCCAGAGCAGATCTGGTCCCCAAATGTATGCAGCAGAGCAGGGAAACTAAAGGCCCTGACTTCTAGCTGGAGACCAGAGAACGAGTGGTTATGAAACTGGAGAGTCGGGGGAAGGACATGGAGTAGAAGGAGCCTGAGAAATGGATCCCATAAAGTTACAATATGAACTGCTTGGCTCTCAGGCATGGGTCTGAGCCTAAACAATATTCCAATGACTTTAAGAACTAAACTTTCAGGTAGATCATCCAGATTTCAAACTGGCCCCTGAGTGGCACAAGCTTAAGGCAGATCTGATGTACATTGTAAGTTTTGAAAACTAAACTATTGGAACTCCAGTCCTGTTAAAAAACAAAATTCAAATGAATACATTTTTAAAGACCTTACTGGCTTTATTCAATGATTCATGAATTGAGCAGCATCCAACCTGGCAGATAAAAATGAGCTCCAATGAACTGTACAAAATAAAAGACCTTTATAGGCAAAGGGAAGCAAGAATCCTACGCAAAAAAATGGGTTTGTTAGCAAGATTATTGGGGATGATAGAGTCTATCAGTCAATTTCTGATAGATTGGTTTGACTGATTGACTACATTTCTGGGAGGGCTGAAAAAGTAATTAGGTCTCGATTTGGTGACATGGGGTTTAGCATAAGTAACTCCATTTTGGACCTGTTGTCTTATTTTTAACAGCCCACAGGAGGTAGATCAGGTTTGAACCTAAATGGGTCAACTGTCTCCTAAAACAAAGCCTCAAAATTTTCCAAAGGATTTAAATAAGACCTAGAGTCTTAGAATATAATATTCAAATGTCCAGCATACAACCCAAAATTATTCTACATACAAAGAACCAAGAGAGTCTGAACACATAAGATGACCCAGGTGTTGGGATTATCAGAAAGTCTTTAGAAATGAAAAGATAGAAAGTCTCAGCAGAGAAATAGGAAATACAGAAAATAACCAAATAGAAATTTTTAAACTAAGAAAATATAATAATCAAAAATTTAAAATATACTGGGTAGCATTGGTTGTAGAATAGAGACAACAGAGGAAAGAGTCTGTAAACTTGGAGAATAGATCAATAGAAATGACCTGTGATAGGTAGAATACCCGCCCCTGACAAAGATGTCCAAATCACACTTTTTTTTTTATTTTACATTAACAAAAAGTACTTTGCAAATAAAACTGACTTTAAAATTGGGATTATTTTCATTTTCAAAGTGCTAAATCTAATTACATGAATCTTTAAAAGCAGATAATTTTCTCTGGCTGAATTCAGAGATTCAGCAGAAGGAAAAGTCAGAGCCATTCGGAACATGCAAGGGACTCAACCCACCACTGTATGAGCGGGTCACATGGAAATCATTAGGAGAAATGTGGCAGCTTTAGGAAAAAAAGACCAGCCCCCAAGTGATAGTAAGAAAATGAGATCTTCTGTCCTGTAACCAAAAAGAAGTGAATTCAGTCAACAACTTCAATGAGCTTGGAAGTAGAATCTTCCCCAGAGCCACCAGGAAAAAAAAAACCCAACTCACTTTAGCCTTATGAAACTCCTTGATTTTGGCCTTGTGAGAACCCAAACAAATGACTCAGTCAACCTGACTTCTGACCTACAGAAATAAGAGGTGTTCAGTCACTAAGTTTGTCGCAAACATTATGGCAGCAAGAGAAAACTATTAAGTTATCCAATATAAACAGTAGAAAAAAAAATAATAATAAAGCCTCAGGAATTGTGGGACAGTATCAAAAGGTCTAATGTTCATCTCATCAAAGACAGAGAATTAGAGGACAATATGGTGGAGAAAACATGTAAATAATGGCTGGGGATGTTACTGCAGACAATGAGTCACAGCACTGATTTCAGAGCCTTCTGAGGGGCCCACTCATTTATCCCTTTGGCACCTGTGCCTGTGGGACCCCACTGGGTGAGCCAGACCAGGTCACTGGCTCTAATAGTCAGTGACATAAACGAGGACTTCTGGGGGAAGCCGGAACTATGCTCCTTGCTTAAGGATCCCCAGGTCACACACATAGGTTAAATAAAATGAGAGCTCTGAAAAAGTTTTGAAGTCTAGATGTCCTCTGAGGTCGTGTCTGAAAGGATTTAAACCTTTTTCCCCCGACACAGGCAGACTTTTTGAATGAACACTTTGTAACGGTAAAGAGCTATGCACAGATGGGGGAAATGCACTGAGGATGACTGTGCTGACCTGGACCAGGAGGGTCACAGCATCATTCACGATGACAGCTGCCAGTTACACTAAGCACCTACAATGTGACAGGCACTGTGCTAAGGAATCATTGAATTTTCATGACAACTCTGAGAAAATGGCTTTCAATGTTTGGATAGGTAAGGAAACAGGCTCCAAGAGGTCCAAGGTCAAATGTGAAGGAGGTGACAAGGCAAGGTTCGGGTCTGCAGCCCCAGCCTTCCAAGCCAAGGCCTGTGAGAGGAACCTCTGAGGCCTGATGTCAGGCCTCTCCACATGTGCCCCAGAGAAAACAATGCCACCTTTCATCAAAGACTGGCACAGGACTGCCAAGGGCACTCTGAGGTCTTATCATGTACAACAGGACTCAAAAGTTTTAAAAAATGTTATATGGTGGAATGCTTTCTTTGAAAATTATTTTGTGTAAATCCAAACCAGAAAACCACCCCTGTGGTTGAAGGTGGGAGCCGGGTTGCCCTGGGGCCCCTAGGTCTCCCAGATCACTGTTGGAGGTTACTTATCTAGTAGGTTGGCCCTTACTGCGAGAAGCAAGGAGGTGCCATGATGCTTAAGGCTCTGGCTTTGGGTTTGAAAGAATGAAGTAGGGTTATGGCAGACTCATTCCTGGGTTAGTTGGTCTGGGGAAAAGTGGCAGGGTTCCAGACTTGCTATATACTTTGGGCACTGGTCCATTTGACGCAGGCACCACTTGCCTTACTCACTGCCCCCTCTGGTCAACAGCCATGACCTGTCACTCACAGGGCAGGAAACTTACCTTTACCATTTCCATTTAGTGAGTTTAATCTTTAAAGATATAGATTACAAGATTAAAAGCTACAGCACTCTTCCTTTTTTTTTTTTATTGCTCTGATAAAAGGCATCATCTGTTTTTTTTTTTGTTGTTTTTTTTTTTCTTTTCTGTATCACAAAAGGAGAATATTTAAGTTTAGATCTTAGTGTAGGATCAACAGCAGATCTGCATTTCTGACCCTGGAGCAGGAGCTGGTGGCATGGCTCACAGTGGAATCATTAAACGGACCTCCTTCTCATAGATGTCAGGGATCAATCCCATAGGGGAGTTGACCATGTGCACGGTGTTCTTGCCAAATAGCTGGAACTCATAGTGGATGAGCTGCTCCCAAAAGCCATTGTTGGGTCGGATGATGGGCCGACAAGATTTGGTCCACATGTGGGCCTCCAGCAAGGACATGGCATGGTACTTCATGAGGTAGGCAAGGCAAAGGGCAGCTGATCGGCTCACACCAGCCACACAGTGGAGCAGCGTGCGGCCCTGCTTCATCTCAACACTGTGGATGTGGTCAGCAATGGGGTCAAAGAAGTCACAGAGACGCGACATGGGTGTGTCAGCCACAGGCACCTGTACATACTGGATGTCCTCATATAAGGTATTCACCACCTCCACTGAGACATTGATAACCGAGGTGATCCGGTTGCTGGAGAGCATAAGTTTGTTGTTGGCGGCCACCCCATTGCTGATATACAGGCTGCTGGTGATCTGTGAGAGGCCACTGACCGAGGGCTGTTGGAACTGAACTGGGAAGGTACATGGAGGTGCTGTCATCAGGCTGGTGGGTCAGCGGCCAGTGAGACATAAAGGCTGCATCTTTCTGCTAGGCTGTGTCCATTAAAAACTGCAAGGAGGAAGAAAATGTTTAGACGGCAGGAGCCCAGCTGGGCTAGCTGACCAACCCAGGGGATTTCTGGGAGATGAATGGATGGGCCTACAGCAGAATTCCCCAGGGTGGTCTTCTGACCATCATACTAGAATGGCCCAGGGAACTTATTAAAAATGCGGATACCCAAGCTCTTCCTCAAATCCACTAAGTAGGCTCTGGGGTGAGGACCATGAATGTACATTTTTATCCTGCTTCTCAGGAGTCCTGATGTGCATAGTAGTACAAAGGACAAACCCCTGAGCCTAGCACTGAAGGCTTCCCTACATTTTTAGTTGGGCAGGCCAACTTGTGTCCTGCAGCTGAGCCTTGACCTAACTCACCACCTAGACTTACACAGCCCTCTTCTCCTTTCTCTTCAATATCCTCTTTCTGTCCAGCCCCTCTAGGTGGGAACTACTCACACAGTCCTCCTCCTCTTCTGACTTTATGCTCCAATCATGAGACTCTGAACCAGTGCCATGAAACCAGAGCCCGATATACTGGCAGTCATTTGAGGTATGAGAGAGAGGAGAGTCTTAACTTCACCTCTCCAAGAACCATCTTTTTGAAGAAACAAAATGTGCCCATGTGCAATACTCCTACATCATTGGCCATGCTCCTACACCTTGCCTCTAAGGACAGCCTGGGGAAAAGTATCACTGAAAGCTTCCTGGAGGTCAGCATAAGGAGCATCACAGCACCCCCAAATGGCAAGTACAGAGAGGCAGAGGGGCTTTAGGTAAGGCAAGCCATACCAGCATGATGCTGTGTACAGAACTGCAGCATGAGACTCCTGGGTAGGGCAGGAAGCCTTCTAAAAAATCTCAGGCCCCTTACTCTCTGTGTTGAACAAAGCTGTAAAAATAGCACATCTTCACGTTTCACTGAAACTGGAGCATTTGGATTTAGAGCACCTCTCAAACCAAATGGCAGTCTTCATGAGGCGCAAATAAGAAGCTGAACTTCTGTTCCCCTGCTTAAAGTGTTTCAGTGGCTGCACAGTCAGAGTGAGATGGAGCCCCTTAGCTTTGCTGTCAAGGCCATTTACACCTTGGCCCCTGCATATCTCTCCATCTTTGTATTGGCCTTCCCTATGTCCTGAAGGACCTCAGCTGGGCTGAGCCATTTGCAGCTCCATATGGATATCTGGTCCTCTCTGGCCTTTGTTGTTCTCAGTCCCTTTCCTTATAAGGTTGTGAGATCCTACTGTGTTACCTTCAGCAGAGGACAGGTGAACCAGCAGAGTTAGTCAAGGATCACTTCCCAACAGAAATCTCCTAGGATCACAACCCTCTCCTACATTTGATTGAGTCCTAGCTCCAGGCTTTCTAAGCCCTGTGTGCTCTCTTTCCTAACACTTCCTGAAGACGTGGTTTTGCTTTGATCTGGGAGTTCTATTGGAACATCACTGTGTCTGTCTTCACTCCTACTGTGAAACCAATGCCAAGCTCTGTGTCCCCACAAGTAGGTGCTTGATAATATTTGTTGAATGAGGGAACTGTTCCAACCATGACTCTACCTTCTGAGAAGTCTTCTGGAAAGGATGAGTTCTCTGGCTCTGTTTCTCTAGAATTTTAGGGAGGGGTTGCGTGGAGGTGAGTGTGGTTCTTAGGCTATTGGAGAGGAAAGACAAAGGCTATGTGCATAGGCAAATCCTACCTACCAATGCCCCAGAATCAAATGTATCAGGCACACCCCAGGAAGGGCAGACGGGGCTGGTTTGTCCTTAAAAAAGGCCTACCTACCCCAACCCAGTTGGAGGCCTAAATGTTCTAGATTCTTCTCACCCCAAACCCCCCCCCCTTAGTGCCCAATGGACAACAGGAATAGGGGAGACTGCTGTTCATCACAGTGACAAAAAGTTGCAGGACACTGCTCTTGAGAGTGAGGGTACTGATGGGAGGAGACTCATATTCATTAGGTGCTGGGGATACCAAAATGTATAAGACAGCCATGGACCCCTCTCCCACGGAGCTCACAGTGTAGTGGGAGAGGCAGAAATTAAACAGGCAACTACAGGTGTAACACAGTTGGAAAACTGGGGTAAGAGCGCCTACCTTTTAAGGATCTTCTGATGATTAAATGAGGTAACCCAGGTAAAGTATTTAACACAGAGTCTAGCATAGAGTGAGCTCTCTACAAATAACTATTTTTGCTCTTGTTAAGGAAGTTAACGTGCAGGGCATTAAGGGGGTGAAGACTAAAGGAATTTACTTCAGGCCCAGGGTTAGGAAGTTGCAAAGATCACCTGAAGAAATGACACAAAGATCTCCAAAATGTTTAGAGTGAGGGGGAGGGAGGTGGAGAAAGAGCAACTCCACTGCTGCTCAGTTTCACCGCTTTTATAGCCTACAAAGCCTTTGGCTTCCTTCGCCTGGTTCGACTTCAAACTACTGGAGTTAATAAACTACACTTGAAGCATGGGGAAAGTGAGATAGAGAGGGGAAAAGGACCTGTCGCCCTGACGGGTGTGGCTCAGTTGGTGCGGCACCGTCCCTCAAAGAGAAAGGACCCCAGTTTGATTCCGGGTCAGGGCACATGCCTGGGTTGCGGGCCAGGTCCGAGGACGATGTTTCTCTTGAACATCGATGATTCTCTCTTTTTCCCCCCCCTTCTCCCTCTCTCTAAAAATAAATGTTGTGTTGGGTTGTTTTTTTTTTTAAAGGACCTGTCTAGGGTCACAAAGCAGGTCCGAAAGCCGGTCTTTCCGGTCTCATTATGAGTGGGAAGTCGGCAAACACCGCTGGGCGTTTGTTAATTCTGTACACGAGGAACGAAGTCCATTGGTAAGACAGGACCACGGCGCCGCTTCCACGGGAGAGCCAGATAGGTTTCCTGGGAAGCTGGCCCTGTAATGGGCTTCCTCAGCTGCTTGGTATCAAGACTCTCATGGTCTTACCTCTCCCCCGCCGGCGCGAGGGCAGGTTCGTTCAGGAAGCAACCGCGCCCAAAGACTTGGATGAGGGTATCGGAGAGAGGGAAGACCGGCCACGACCGGGAGCCACAATACCTGGCAGCCTGACGCTATGGTTTTCCTAGTAACGGCCCCTTGTCGCAGGGAGGAATCCGCTGTGCCGAATCTTCGGAGAAATCCCGGCCTCGTCTCCCCACCCAGGAGCTGCCCCGCCCAGACTCACCCGGTTACCAGAAACACGACGAAGCGGGGGCCAGCGCGCCCTACTCCCGCAGTAGGATCAGCTCAGCGGGCACAGCCCACTGCATTGGCCTAGCTCGTCTCCATGGCAATTGCCGGGCCGCACCACGGCAGCCGCCAAGGGACAATCTTGTCGCTTCCTCAGCCTTTCGGGCTGCGGTGCCTCTGATTCTCCGGGTCCCGCCCCACTCTCTCGTCTCCGGGGCAACGAGCCAAGCTCAGCTCCGCTCACTGCGTGTCCGCGCTCGTCCACCCAGAATGGCTTCCAGTCTGGCTCCTATTCGTGCGTCGTTCGCTGACGAGGAGAATGAGACTGCTCAGCAGCAAAGGCCCTCAGTCACATGGAAATTAAGCCCGCTCTCGGCCCATAGGGCCGCCACCCAGAGGTCCACCAGTTCTGGCACGTATCCGGCCTCAGGCTTCCTCTGGCGCCCCAGGCTCGGCAGTAGCCCCGAAATCAATTTAGGGACCCAGCCGCACGTCGTCTTCCTGCGTCCGCGGACCGCGCCCACTCTAGTTCTCTTCAGGTGCGGCCCGGGTGCCCAGAGCGGTCGTCAGACACCTCGAGGGAGCCCGAACTCCCTCAGACCCCTTGTTCCCTCAGCTGGCCCTTGGGATCCCGGATGTCTCTCCGAGTCCGGCTCTTTCCTAGACCCCAGAAGAGCCGGGATTCCTCACAGACCCGGGCCCCAGCTTCTTCTAGTTCAGCTCTTCCCACCGCCAGGAGCCCGAATCCCCTCAGCCATGACTCGGGAGAAACCGGAAATCCCACCTCCAACCCATCCACCCACCGAATCGTCCCAGCCTTGTAATCCCCCAGGCTTGACATTGTGCAGTCAGGGGGTTCCCAGCGCCCTTTGGGCTGAGCCTTGAACTTCCTTAGAACCTGGCGAGGCGCAGGCCCCCTTGGGCCTGACACCCCTCTCCTCAGCCTCTGTGTTCTCCGGAGGCCCTGGGAGAACACCCGTTCCCTCAGCTCGGCCTCAGTCTGGCCTCAGTCCCCGGAGAGAAAACCCTCAGTTCCCTCAGCCTGGCCTTACTCCCCACAGACCCCAATTTCCCCTCGCCACTTCCATTTCACACCTCCTGCCAGCATTTTCCAGGCTCCCACGGAGTCCTTGCTTTGGAAAACAGTTTGATTCAAAATCACCATTTATTACTCAAGAGGGAATAGGGAATATTTCCAGTCACTGCCTTTTTTTTCTTCCTTCCTAGGAAGTACTGGTAAATATGGTGCACCACTGAGTAGGTACAGAGTGTTTTATGTGTCTTATAAATATTTTAAATCTTTATTTTTAAAAACAGGATTTGGGGAACGTTTATATGTGACACCTCGATCTCTAAACCAGCCTTTTTTTTTTTTTTTAATTACCTCTTGCCTTTGCTGTCAGAAAATTGTAAATGGGAGATTGGGGCCGTTTATTTCCATTAGTGTATGAATGTAAAAACATTAATAAAACCGTGGATCCAACTGGCTGAAAATGAATTAGAAAATTTTTTTAACCCTTCAAAATGTTTTCTTTGAAAAATTGTCTATTTTGTTTTATGCAAGTAGTATACAATTATCTTAGAAAAATCAGATGAGACAGACAAGTAAAATGGATGACCAGAGACAATCACTGTTAATATTTTGTATGTTATTCCAGATCCATTCATATACGTATTTACTACTACATGCTTGGGAGAGGCGGGGAGGAATGTCACCAAAAAGTTCACTGTTTTGTTGTCTGCTTTTCTCACCACCTAATACACTATGATTTTCTGTTTAATTCATAACTGGAGTATTTTATTGTATGATCTAACCACAATTTATTCAATTGCTTCCCTGCTGTACATTTAGTTTCAACATTTTAGAAAGAAAATATGAGCAATTATTTTGAAAAGGGCAACAACATATAAAGGTACATAAACGGTACACTTCGTGGCGTAACCAAATTATCAAAAAGTAAAAAGTCAGTGCCTGATATTACCCACTTTTGACCAGTTCCTCATTTTGACCAAGTGGTTATCCCTAGTTTTACCTGGTTCCATTTCACTCTACCCCACCCCATCCCATCCAAACTTATCTTCTACCTCTCACCCTCCAAAGTCTCCTCAAATATTTGTCCATCCCATATTTCTCTCACTTTGACATTTTCCAAACGCTTTTCCCTTAGAACTCCCCTATTAACCAATATAACCACTATCCAAACTCTTTATCCTATTTTTTTCCTGCTTCCTCTGGCCCTTCCTCTTCCCAAAGCCCCTCTAGACCTAGTTTCTGGAGCAAGCACCCTCACCTCAGCTTCCCTCAAATTCATCCCTTTGAACCCAACCCTGCAACTTTTGCTCCTCTTCTTTAAGACCCTTGCTTCCCATTTCATTCTGCATTTTCTCCTTAAGATGGCTGCTCCAGCAGACAGTTCCAAGTCCTTGTTGACACTTCCCTTGTGGACTGACTGCTCTTTCTACTTCCTTGTCAGGATGGTTTCTCCTATTAGCATCCAAGAAACTACCCCCTTTGCACACATTTTCCACAAGAAGAAACCTAGGCCTCCCTTGTTCCTCTGATAATTATGACAGAGCTATGCCTCTCCCAAGAAACCTATGGAGGTCTCTGCCACTATCCCAGGACCCCATCATATCAAGCCCTGTCCTAGCCCTGGACCCAGCCGTCTCAATCTGTACCACCTTCCTCTGCCCCCTTCAGCTTAATGAATTCCAGTGAAGCAGCCGTGACAAAATATTTACCCAAGAGCCACTTATCTCGGGTGATTATTCGTGACAACCTCAATGCACAGCGACTCTTGGAGATGGAGGTAAAGTCTTCACAAGTTTTTGAGTTGTTAGAGGGCATTCGTGGCTTTACCCGCATTTATTTCACTTTCACTGATACCTTGGTGGAGATCACAGATCTTAGAGGTGGTAGGGAGCCACCATGGTGCTCTAATGCAAGTCCCATTTTATAGGGGAGTCTGGATTATGGATTTGCCTGGGGTGTCACAACTATTCCTGTGCTGAGGAAGCCTGGGAAAAAGATTTCATGTTTTGCCTCTAGTGATATATTTTTTTCTCCTCAAAGCACATTACTGCCCTGGTCAGTGTGGCTCAGTTAGTTGGAGCATCATCTGGTGGACCAAAAGGTCATGGGTTTGATCCCTGGTCAGGGAGAGTGCAAGAGGGTGACCAAACAAGGTTTCTCTCATAGATGTTTCTTTTTCTCTTTCTCTCCCCTTCCCTCTCTCTCTAAAAGCAATTAAAAATAAATAAATAAATAAATAAATAAATACCCTTGGTGAGGATTTAAAAAAAAAAAGCACATTACCTTTCTATTTGGGGAATCCATGAATGGATTCCTACTGTCTCCCATAAAAAGGAGCCATGGGTCCTAGAGCTTGAAATGGCATCAATACAGTTTGGTTAGTTTTTTCCTTTAGGGATTATTCCCCATTTTTCATATAAGAATTGACACTCTTCTGGTTTTTATTTATGGACAACTATGGTTTGACCTAGTTGAGTTGGTGCCCTCTTTTTGATTCTGTTGAGCTTCCCTCCATGTTCCAGGGCCAAATCTGGGTGGTCTCATGGGATTTTGATATCAAAAAGAGAGGAGGATGCTTAAGAGATGGTGCCAGATCCTCTTAAGGGCCACAGAGACCAAAAGAAGAGTAGAGGCCTCGTTGTTTCTCCCTTTGTTAAACTTCCAGTGGCTTGCTGTAGTAGAAACAGGATGGACTTGGAGATGGGCAGGCCAGCTTTGTGTGACCTTGGGAAATCACATTTCCTTCAGTACACTCTTTTCTCCTTTGTAAAATAGGATCTATTAGGATTCTTGCAGGAGACACAAACTGAAGTTGAACTAATTAAGCAAAATAGAGAACCATGAGTTTACATTATTGAGGATGGGTAGGGTAGGGTCACAATATTTGGGATGAAAGAAGCCAGGAGCTCTAATACCAATGGAGTGTCCTCCACTCTCCCTCTTCATCTCCTTTTCTGCTTCTTTCTGCATGTTGACATCATTGTCAGGCTAGCTGTCCCTGGGACTGTGGCCACAGGAAACTGTCCTGTAGCGCAGAAAGGAAATGGAGTGCTTCCACTGTGCTCAAGTTAGACAAATCCTGGAAAATGACTCCAGTTGGCCCAGGTTGGGCCATGGACCCATCCCTGAACCAATAACTGTGGCCAGGTGGTAGAGGCCATTCTGACTGTCCCAGAAGAGGTTGGGTCCAACTCCTATAACCAGTGGGTGGGGGATGTTGTACCTCTGACAAGTGGGGTATCTCTGAGATATGTAACTGGAAACTCTCCCAAGTTTTATATGTACCAGAGGGCTGTGCCATCTTCCAGCCATCCAGAAGTTCTTTTAAAGCTGAATTGAGCCTTTATGTATCTTAGTATGTATCTTTATGTACAACAGTATATATTATTACCTCATTTAATAGTTCAGGAAACCGAGGCTCAGAGTGATGGAGTAACTTCACTAAGGTCACAGAATGCATCATTGCAGAGTAGCAAACCTGGGTTTGACTGACCATGGTGCAGGATGATCTCGCTCAAGGACAGGGACTGCCCTCTCCTTGCTTGTAAACCCAGTGGCTTGCTGAGGGCCCAGCTTGTGGGAACTCAGTAGATTTGAAGCTTGAGTGGCAGCGTGACAGTATTTCTGTCTTCCTTCCCAAAAGTGCTCACTTTAGGGGAAGAGGCATCTTTGACTAACCATTGATTTCTCAGGATCTTAAGGAGGACATTGGTAATGTCTGGAAATGTTTGGTAGCACAAATGAGAGTAGGGTGGTGTTGCTGGCATTTAGTAGGTAGAGGCCAGGGATGCACAGGGCAGCTCCCCACACAAATAATTACCTGGCCCTAAATGTCAATAGTGTCAAGTTTGAGAGACCCTGATCCATTGTAAAAGTCAAGCTCAAGGTGAAATCGCTAGCTTAGGCCAAAAAACCTGCTGCCACAGTGGTGAACTATAAAAAAATAGTGATACAAAGCAGCCGCTTAACTTCTCAATAGCTGTATCAGCATCGTCTCAGGTACATGATCAAAATATAGATTCCTGGGACCCATCTAGACCCTACCAAGCTAGAATCTCTAGGATCTATGTTTTTATCAAGTAACTGAAAGGGACTTGCATTATGTCTTTTAGTGTCCATATTCTCTGACACCCACCCTCCCTCTTTTCCTTTGTTCCCAAGATCCACTCAGGCACTAATTCTCTGTGTCAAATGATTATGGCAACATTGGCCTTATGGAACTCTCCTTTGCTTACATTGTGTGTATTTTGAGACAATGCCAGTGCTTAGAATCCCCAAAAGAGTTTGTTGAAGTGTGGGCTCTCAGGATTACTTCCTGCCTGGTTCTGCTTCAACATGCTCAACATTTCCCCATCCTTCAAAACCCTGCCCTCCCCACAATATATATGCCAAGTCTCCATGAGGCTTTTCTTGCCTTCTTTGAACTCTATGCTTTTTAAAGGGATGTATCACTCTCTGCCTTGCTTAGAAATATTTGGACATGTGTCTCATCTTCCTGACTATGTTGTAACTTCTGTGGAGACAGGCAGCTGAGTTTTTCTTCATACCCCCTCCACAGCTAGCTCATTGGAATACATAAATGAACAAGTAAGTAAGATAGAGTATGGGACATACAGAGTTTATAGTCTTATTGGGGCCATGGCAAAAATGATATAATAGAAGAAATAACTAGAGTTTAATGTGATGTAGGGGATGTAGCACACCTGTGGGGAGCACTAAACGAGTAGTAGGGAATGGTGATAGGAGTTAAGTAGTTAATGGTGATAAGAATGGGAAGGGGAAGGAACAAGAGGCACCTTTTCTCTACACCCACGCCCACCTCTTTCTGACCAGTCTTCAAATAGAGGTGATAAGGTCAAAATGAGGTTCCTAGGCTGCATACTGTCAGAATACCATAGGAGTTATCTAGCTCAATGCTCACATTTTACAAATAGGGAAACCGAGGCTCCCTGTGAGTCAAATTATTTATGGAATATTGGGTCCAGCTGGCACATTTTCCACCCTCATATCAGCAACATAGATGTCTCTTGTTGTGCAGTAATTTCTTTATCCTAACCTCATCTGTTCATTGGTTTTGTTTTTATAAGATGAAAGCTTCAGAAAAGACCAAGAAAAAGATGAGCCACTTGCATGACCACCTGAAAAAAAAGTTCATGATGGACCAGCTCAGGAAGTTGGGACGCTGGAAACGGGAATTCATGAATATCCGGCAGCAGCTGAGAGCACCCGTGGACCCAAGGTCACTCCATTCCAACGAGAAAAAGTGGCCACCCTAGTCAAGGCAGATGATCTGCCCCAGGGCCGTGACAACACTAGACCGACAGGAGGAGAAGCCTAGGAGCTAGCCAGCTAACACCATCGAAGAACAACAATAAACGGATACCAGCAGATAATGGAGCATAAAAACCCTAGCAATCCTGATATTTCTTTCCCCGCCCAATTCCCTCTGTCCTGGTAAAGGAGATCCTGACAGTCCCCTAGCTGCCTAAGAGGAGGGGGCTTAATCAAGCCAGTTTTCATGGTTAAAGCAAAGATTGACCTTTTGTACCCACATGTCTGAGGTGAAATGCCAGGCCAGGTGCATTGGGACAATGGAACCTTAGATGGGAAGGGTTCAGTAATGTCTAGCATTCATTCCTGTGGTAAGAAGGTCAGGGTGAGACGTCAGACAGACCTGGGTCAAGTGCTCTTTCTCCATCATTGTGACTTTGTAAACTCTCTGAACCTCTGGTTCCTTATCTGAAAGAATGGGGGAGTAGCAAGGGACTCTGCCTCCAAGAAATGGCATGAGAATGTGGCACGCTTGGCCCAGGGCCTATCATTTCTCATGGCTCTCGTTGTGATGGCTCCACTTGGCTTCGAATCTTTCCAGTCCCCACTCCTTGGCCTGCCTGTTGCTCCAACTACACCCCAATTGTCCCCCATATTGTGCCCTTACTTATCGTACCCTTATCTAGAATGCCTCACAGTGCCACCGGGGCTGTGAGGAAACTCATCCTTTAAGGCTTATCTCAATGCTAGTTCCCTGTAAAGCTTCTCTGATTTCCTGCCTCCTGCCTGCCTCTAACCCCACCCTGCCTAAACCACATGGGTTTCCTCTCCCTTCTGAACTTGGATTACCTGCGGTGGCTTCACTCTGCCTTGTGTGGTAGCTGTATGGGTATTTGTCCCAAATTCCTGATTCGATTGTACAATCTTTGAGGGCAGGGACCAAAGATTCCCCAAGATCCAATTCAGGTCTTTTCTGTGACATTTCCCCCACCTGGTCCCAGTAGAAAAGGCCACTCCTTCCTGTGCCCATACCTCTGTCTGCACCAAGCATGTGGTTGGTCATTTCTTGTTTGCTGTTTCCCTTACCACATTGTGAATGTCTTAATGGCATCTCTGTAACCTCAGTGCCTAGTAAACAGGGTAGTCAATGTTTTTTGAATAAATTACTATCTTATTCCTTTTTCTGTTACAGCTTCAGCACACTGCACAGAGAGAGAGCCTGGTACATATTTTTCAAGTTAGCCAAGCCCCCTCATTTTACAGGTGAGAAAACAGGCCTGGAGAGGTGACCTGACTTGCCCAAGGTCACAGCAAGTTAGTGGCAGAGAACTAGAAACAGGTTTCCTGACTGCTGTGAAGTGGTCATTCTGCATCACCATAGTTGCTAGGTAAGGACCTCAGCCCTCTTGGTGGCTTTCAGAAGTCCTTCTTTACCTGTCCTCATTCTTATTATGCCCTTTCCTCATTGCTACCTGGTCATTCAGCAGGCTTTCCTCTGAGCTTGGTCTCAGTGATCCCCCAGCTATGGGACAGCAACTGGACGGGAGCTAGATGTTCATGATGTTTCTATTTCTCTGCTTTATGATCTTCCTTTGAGAACTGGAGATTGCTACTTTTCAGTGGGAGCCAAAACAGTCTTTTTTCTAGGTTCTTGTCTGTTTTCTTGGCTGAGCACAACTGATTAGAATAATTGATTTTAAATACTTAAATTTTTTTATACAAGCAACTTGACCATATTTGCAAAAAACAAAAACCCAAACATCTATTAGATTAACCACTGCTGGCATTTTGGTATATTTCTTCTATTTGATGTATTTGTTTCTTTTCAACAACAGTCTTTTCCCTCGGCACTGTACCTAGAAAGGAAAAAGGGTGTGGGGATCCTAAAGTCCTCCGGGGCCGTGCAGAACATCCCTGGCCCTGTTTTCTCCAAACTGTCCCCAGGAACTCTCTATCTCCTAGATCTCCTAGGCCTTTCTGAGCTTGATGCTGGTCTAGCCACCAGCCACATGCACCCTTCTTCCCTGGATGGCTGGCCTTAGCTAAGGGTCTTTGCATCTCACGTTTTGGCCCAAAGGACTGGGGATCCCTGAGAGTGGAGTGGGTGGGGAGTTGGTATGTCAACCTAATGAGTTGCTTTATAAGCCACTAACACACCTCTACTTGTGTGGACTTAGTCTTCCCATTTTTGCATTAAAAACCAGAGGATTTTGTATTTAAGTAGAGAACAAGAAGTGATGAAATTCTGGAGAGGGCACTTGATTACTGGGAGTGAGAAAGATCAAGGGTAAGGAAAATCAATGAAGGAAGAATGGAGGGGTGTTTGATTGGAAGATAATGTTCAAGAAATACAACCTTGAAGCTTGAGGAGTTTAAAGATTCTTTAGTCCAGTGGATACATACCCACACCCAAGTCTCTTAGTTTAAATGAAATTTTACCTGGAAGCCCATTCAACTAATCAAAACCATCAGCATATTCATATCTATTGAATACTCATGTGCCAGGCACACTTTTTCAAAATGATTCATTGAAATCTTCCAACAACAAAGTGGTAATTTTATTATCCCAGTTTATAGATCAGAAATCAAGGTTCAGAGGGTAAGAATCCTGCCTAAGGCAGCTAATAAAGAAAAATAAAGCCCATCTTAAGCCTGTCACACTCCGAAGACCTTCTCCTAACAACTGTGTAATAAGCTCCCTATCTTTATCACTCTGGTTGGAAGTAGAAGTCCTGGGACCTGGAGCCCTCTGAACATGATTTCACAGATGGTATTGCAGGAACCTCAGCTGTAATGTCAATTACCTGCAGTCAGCTATTTAACAGAGAGCTGGACTAAAACCCAGGTTTCCCTTCTACCAGATGGCTAAAAAGAACTTGTGGTCCATTCTGGGATAAATAGGCTGTTAGGAAGAGTTAGGCTGGGCTCTCAGAGGTGTGGACAAGGGAGATGGTCATCCCAGAAGTGGAAGAACGGGACACCTGGAGTCCCGATCAATGCCCATTGGTTTTGAAAAGATGCAATTCAGGCCCTGGGCAGCTGGGCCAGGACAGATCCCACAGTGACCACAAGGGGTCAGCAGACGCTCGTGTGCTCAGCTAGGATCTGCCTGAGTGCACGTACCTGTGTGTCCAGGGTCTGCGAGGTAGACCAAGTCGTTTAACTCCTGGGGACCCCAAACACAAACAAGAGGCAAGGATACATTCTGTCCCAGCCCCTTGTTGACTCAAAAAGTGTTACTTTGAGTATATACAATTCAGAGCCTGGTCCAGTTGCTGTCTTTGGAACTCTGCAGGGCTGAGGGGGCAGAGCCAGCACAGGCCTTGGGCAGGAATCCCTACCTCCCCCAGTAACTCGTCTTTGGGCTTCAGCTCTCCCGCCTGCAACTGGGATGGGTGCTGGTGCCTGATCTCTGCATTTCCTTCCAGTTCTCAGGACCCAAGATATGGTAACAGAGCTTTGCGCACATATGCTCCCTAAATATCTGCTGAGTGGATGAGAGCAACTCCTGCTCTGAGCAAAGCCAGTAAAATCCAGGCTTCTACAAAATGATAATCCGGGGTGAGTTTTGCTTTACTAATGTACCACTTGACAACATGATTCCTGATGGAATTCCTTTAGCCAGTCTGCTCACTGGGAGCATTTCGAATGTTCTTTCATTAAAATACTGTCATTCAAATACACTCTCCCGCTGAGTTCACTGGGTCTCTCAGTTGCTGGAAGTACGCCCACCCAGAAGCTTTGTGTGACAGTCTTCCTCAGTTCCCCCTGTGGCTCACCGCCACTCACCTCCCACCTCACTCAGTATCTGCTGAGCTCCTTATATAGACCATACAGTCTTGGAGCTGGAAATCATCTGTGAACAAACCTGACTCAAATGCCCTGCCTTCATGGAGCTTACAGTTGAGCAGTCCCTAGGGAAAAATAATGAATCAAATTTAAAACCCTGGCTGTTGTGGCTGGTGTCTCATTTGCCTCATTAAACCCTTTGGCCACTGGAAATGCTGCCCACAAACCTTGAGGGCTCTGTGTGTCCTCATTCCTCGCTGCTGCAGTGAGGTTTTATTTGGTGTACGTGGGCCCTGCAGTCAGATGGCTCTGAGTTTGAATCTCAGCTTTGACTCTTAGGGGAGGTCACCTTCCCCTTCTCACAGCTTCAGCTTCCTTGTCTGAAGGCCAGGAATAATTGTAATACACCTCATAGGCTTGTTCTGAGAACTCTGTGAGCTAATGTGCGTCAGGAACTGGCACAAGGCCTGGCACCTCATGGGGGTAAATTTGAAGTGGGTTGTCATGACAGTTGTAATGTTGCGCTGTACTTGGAGTTGGTGTGTAAACCTCAAGAAGTAGCCTGGTGCAGCACAGTGAACCCCAGCATAAGGATCTCAGCTCTAAGACCCGGGGCAACACACATCCCATCTCCGGACCTGGAGGGACATCTCTGTTTCCTCATATTTCAGTTAATCTCTTAGGAGAAGGAAGCTGGACTAAAATACACTCATAGCCTATTAGGGCCCTCATGGCCTCCCCAAGTTAGTGAGTGCTTCTTGGGAACCTGGTCACAGAGCAATGGTCACTGGGGCCCCAACCAAGCTTTCCTCAGGTAGTTCTAGGAGGCTGAGTGCACAGTCCCTACTAGGATGAAATGGTCATGGGGAAAAACTGTTCCTCAGCTTTGTTCAAAGGGCAGGCTGGGAGGGTCATGTCCTGCAGAACTAGCTTTTCAACCTTGCTTCCCATACTTCTTCCCACAAGCCAGGTCTCATGAATTCTTTCTCTTCTCCAAAGTGGCCCCTTGATTTTTCACCTCAGAACCTTGATCATACTGTTCACTCTGCTAAAAATAGAGCCTTCCCACATCTCCACCTGAGAAAATTCAGCTCATACCCTTTGGAGCTTGGCTTCTAGTCCATCTTCCTCACAGAGCTCATCCCGGGGTGAACGCTTCTATCCTGGACTGGGTCCACTTCACCCATCTCTTACCTTGTGCTGTCACCATCCACTAAGCTGCCTTTGTTCTCTCACTGGAACGGGAGCTTCTGCCAAGCAGGGGCTGAACAAGATGACAAAAGGGAGGCTTACTGCCCCTTTCTTTTTGAAATTTGCATCCTGTACCACCCATTACATTCTCTGGAGCTCCCAGGTTATTTACAAGGTATTTCCTACTTTCCTTTTCCTTCTATTGCTTTATAGATTCTACCTACTCCATCACTAAGGAGTTACTGACTCCCCAGAAAGGTTTTCAAACAAAACTTCTGATTTCCATCACACCAAGAGGGCAAAGCAGAGCTTGCTCGCTAATAGTCCTCCTGGGGCTGACAGCAGGGAGTGTTGAGTTGGATCGATACCATGTTTTTCATGCTGTTGAATTTATACATTTTGGGTGGGGTCTGAATGCTACAGCTCTGACTACTGCATACTGTCTTAAAGCCAAGTGCACTCACCCCCTTGGCCCCTAAAGATCTGAGCTTGTCATCTCCTTAAGGTATTAGAACATAGGTTCCTTTAAAACATTTAACTAGCTTCGCCCTGACTGGTATGGCTCAATGGGCAAGGCATCATCTCAAAAACCGAAAGGTGGCCGGTTTGATTCCTGGTCAGGGCACATCCTGGGTTTCAGGCTGGACCCCAGTTGGGGGAGTGCAAGAGGCAACTGACTGATGTTTCTCTTCTTCTCTTTCTCCCTCCCTGCCCCTCTTTCTAAAAACAAATAAATAAAATCCTTAAAAAATATTTCACTAGTTTCTAAAATGTTGAAATTATAATGTATGCACTATATACAAAACTGAAGTATACAGGGTATATAATGAAATGAGCCCACCATGTTAATAGTTTCTATGCCTCTTCCAGAAACGTTCTAAGGGCACAGGTCCTTAAGATGAAATTTATGGCCTTCATACATTGTATGTAAAATTTTAAATGTACATGATGATTTGTATATTCTCTAAGCTTCGTAATAATATTAAGGGGCCCATGATCCCTCACAAATTATGAACCACTGACTTTGAGACTTCCTCCTGAGAATGACCAGCACCCAGGTTTGCTTTTCCTCTTTCTTGAGACCCCACTGAAATAAAAGTATAGCAAAGAGAACTAGAATGATTTACTCAACAAATATTCATCAAGGTCTCCCCATATGCCAAGTCTTCTTCTAGGCCCTGATGATAGAGCAGTGAAAGAAATCTAACAGAAATTCCTGCCATCCTGGGGCTTACATTCTACTAGGAGGAGACAGAAATAAACCAAATAAGTCATTTAGAAGGTGGGAAATGCTGTGGAGAAAAAAGAACAGTTAAGAGAACTTGGGAAGGCCAAGCTGGGGTGTTTTGATTTTAAATAAAGACAGATCACTTATGGATGAGCGATTTCAACAAGTGCTTGGAAATATGGAAAGAGGATGTGAGCTCTTGATGAATAAAACAGGCAGAAGCAGCAGCTGAGAACACTTTCTTAGCCAGCTAAAGAGGAGGTGGGAGCCAGTTGGCTTGTAAAAAACCCAGGGAGACTTTGGGCTCAAAGTCAACAGATTATGGGAGAGGGTAGGAGGGAGAACAGGGAACCAAAATGGGGGATTTTATTACTAAAACTGGTTAGCGAGTCCTTGGGCATCTTGCATTATTATTTTATGCCCTACACATATTTTACAATATTCTTTTGTATTTACCCAGTATATAATAAATATAGACTCACACACAACCTGGGGCAGGGAAGGGGGGATAACTGCTCCAACCCACTGCCCTACCCACTTCTACACTCAAGTTTGCCAAGTATAGGTGACATTTCTCCCAAGCAGAAAACAGTATGGCTCTTCTTTAAAGTGATTGAATTAAGTATCCGAGGGCAGCTAGGGCTTGCAGTGTGGATGCTGGCACCACAGAATAGAGCCCCCCTGATTCTGGTAGTTATGACTCTGCCCCACACAGAGCTTAGGGGAGTGTCTGCACCTCCTGTTTCTAGGATCTTCCAGTGTGGTCAGCTCCTGCCATCACTTCATGCAGGAGGCTGGTCCCTGCACAGGCTCTCTTGTCTCAAGCAAGATCAGGTGGGTAAGACACGTGGAATGAGCAGAGGGGAGCCTGCCTGCCCCAGAGGTCTCGAGTTGGAAGGGCCTGGGCAGAAGCCCAATACCCAACCTTTCAATTTGTATTTCTGATTACTTGTGGTAACCATCGACCTTTCTCTTTAGGACAGATTCTTAATCAGTGATGTTTAACCTATCTAAGATCACAGACTCCTTTGGGAATCCCATGAAAACTATGGACCTTCTCGCTAGAAAAAAATGGGCAGACACGTAAAACTCCGCAGACTATTGCAGAAAAATCACAGCCAAGATTACCAGGGATGTCCATGAGGTCCAAGTTAAGAATCCCCTTTTAGATAAAATTTCTGTATTTGTTTATACAGAACCTGAACCATGTCGCCGCTTCAGGTGCCCTGGCATGAATCAGAGGCCAGCTGGCCCAGGAGGTGGAGGAGGCGGTGGCTTCTGGCCACCAAGTTTGGTCGCCGCGGGAAGGAGCCACAGGCAGGTAATGGCTGCCATGGGGGACGGTGGGCGTCCTCCTCAGCGTTTAGCGTCATCTCCCTGTGCTTCGTGCGCATTTATTGGTTTTTGAGCGCGGCACCTGCTTTCCGCCTACCCCTCACCTCCGCTTTCCTGGGTTTCGGGAGGGAACCCATCCTGGACTGAGCGCCGACGCTGGGGCCCGCGGGCAGAGGCTGCGCCGGGAGCCAGCAGGCCCCGCATTCATCATTGTTCCCCCAGCGCCTGGCACGGGTTGGGGCGCTGGCAGGGATGGTGGCCTGAAGCGCGCCGTCCCTTTCCCGTCGCCCGCCCACCAAGCTCTCGCCCCACAGGTGTTTCCAGGGCGCCTTCCAAGTGCTAGATCCTGAAGTGGACGCTGGCGACGCCAGAGAGGGACCGGGGTCCACGCCCGCTGACCGCGAGGAGGAAACAGCCAGCCGACGCAGGCGACTCAGGGGGCACGGAACCGCAGAGGGACCCGCGCGCGCCTCCGCCTCGCGCCGCGCGTCCGCGGTGCCCCCTCCCCGCCCCGCCCGCGGCCCCGCCTCCCGCCGCCCCCTCCCCCCGGCTCGGCCACGCTCCGGTCCGCAGGCTCTATGGGGAAAGCGGCCGCTCTGTGCCGAGGTGGCGGCTGTGGCGGCCGCTCCCGCGGACTCTCGTCGCTGTTCACGGTTGTTCCCTGCCTGTCGTGCCACACGGCGGCACCGAGCATGAGCGCTTCCACGCCCGGCTCCGGACCGGAGCCGAAACCTCAGCCCCAGCCAGTGCCCGAGCCCGAGCGGGAGTCGGTGTCAGAACAGGAGTCGGAGCCAGTTTCGGAGCTGTTACCAGGATCGCAGCCCGAGTCCCAGAAGACGTCTTCTCCAAGGCCAGGGCACAAACAGGAATCGGAACTGCTGCTGGGGCTGGGGACGGGGTCAGGGCTCCGGCAAGAGTTTGGTTCAAGTGTAGGAACAGGGCTCTTCACCAAGGCCTCATCTGAACAGTCACCGGCTGCCGGGCTAGTTGTGGGGAGCATACCCTTTACGAGACCCGAGTCAGGGTCGCAGCCGGTGTCAAAGCCCCCACCCCCTCTGCGACCTGGACAGGTGAGGATGCCTTTTGTGGTTCCAGTGTCAGGACCTGGCACGACCTCCACCGCCCCGATGGTCTTGCTGCCTCTGGACAGCTTCAAGGGCTGGCTCCTCAAGTGGACCAACTACCTGAAGGGCTACCAGCGCCGCTGGTTCGTGCTCAGCAACGGCCTGCTGTCTTACTACAGGTATGAAAGTGCCACCATGGGGCACCTGAGTTTGGAGGGTGGCGATGCTGCCGTGATGGTGATAGAGGGCATTTGGGGTCTGAAGACACCACTACTAGCCAAGGGATGTTTGGGAACATGCACTCTAGCAGAAGTAATGCCTTCAGCCATCCTCCCAGGGCTGGACGCCCTGACTTCTGGCAGGGGAGACCCTTGTGGACATGACTTCTGGCAAGCCAAGTGGATTTAGGGTGTGAGTGGGAGGGTGGAGTGTGGGAGTGATCTGGTGCCTCAGGGCCCTCTGGTCTTGGTAATTATGGGACCTGGGACAGCTAGCCAGAGTCAGCCCCACAAAATCCTTGATTCAGGAGCTTTCAGGACCTAAGATCATTGTATTAGGGATTGAAGGGGGAAAGTAACCTTGTTCAGTCCTTGGGACCCATTCCTGGTTACCTCCTTGGTTGGTCACTATTTCCCACCTTCCCTGATGCCCGTTGATCGCCAGGCCTTGGGCTGGTCACAGCAGACTCACAGATGTGTGAGACATAGCTCCTGCCCTTGGCATTCTGCTGTGGCCTTCCTTATGGCAGAAGCCACATGGGATTCAGAATTGTTTAGTGGTGGGATGTAGCTAACACTGTCTGCCCACTGAAACGTTTGCAAAGAGAAAGATACTGAAGGCTTTCTCTCCTTTCTTACTGGCTATTGCCTTGGTTTGTTTCCTGGTGATGGCTGGTTTAAACTTGGAGATCTCAGGTCACTCTATATACCATTGATTCTCAAACCTGAGCAAGCAGCAGATTTCCCTGAAGGGCTTGTTGCAACACAAAGTGCTGCCCTGTCCCTCTCCACACCTGAGCTTCTGATGTGATGGGTCTAGGAGGGGCCTGAGTTTTGGCACTTCTATCAAGTTCCCAGGTGATGCTGCTTCTGACCATAATCTGAGAAGCACTGCTCTATTGTCATTGCAAACAGGAGGGCCCTGCCTTGCTGTTTGCTCACTTCACTCGGCCAAGCAGTATCCCTTCAGGTCACCCACCACAGGACTTATATGGTCTTTTCTAGACTTTCTGGAACATGGCTTCTAGAGGATGGTTGAGTCTATGGTACCCCTGAGAATTTGGGAACTCCACTGAACTTAAGTGATGCATCCCATTCCAAAATGGGGATCACCTGTCTTTAATTCCTGGCAGAGGAGAAAGCTGACATGTGTTTCTAATATGCCCTTCTTATGTGGTAAATGGGGGCCCCTCGGCCCACTCAGCTGTACTGATACACATCACACAGAACATGGTGTTCTTGGAGTTAGGCAGCGGAACAAAGAGAAATCCTTTTCCAAATGGCGTTTTTATCCCACTTAGCATACTCTCAGGTAAGTAAATATTTCACTGACATGCAGTGACAGGGATCATCAGCGATTTGATATAAATGTCACTTTGTTTTCTTAAAGGCAAGGAAGGTAACACATAGGATATGTTGGCTGTGAACCACACACCCTGTGTTATGTTACCTTTATTTAAATGTATTTCAACCTCATGACACTGTCAGGTGGGGTCCAGGATTGTCCTGTGGTACAAGTGAGGGGTTCTAAAGTTTGACAGGGGGACAGGAGGTGGTGGAGAAAGATTCTGGTCTGGGCCTTTTGCTCTCCAAAATCTGAGCCTGTCCCAGATGCCCACTCATCTGCAAGTTCGGCATTTCTAAGTTATCTGTATTGTACCAGGTACTCCTAACGTAGAGGAGTCAAGCTAATGTTTAGGAGTACAGGGTCCCACAGTAGTAGGAAGCTCTAGTGGAAGTAAAGCCTGACCTCATGCATTTTTGTTTGATTTTAATTGGAAGAGCAAAGGTGCCTCATCTTCTTTTCTTAAAATAACTTACACAAGCATACCTCATTTTATTGTGCTTTGCATTATTGCATTTCACAGATGTTGCATTTTCTTGTTTTTATTTTGAGAGTACCTTTATTAAAGCTGAGGACAGTGAAACACGGAAGGGCTTAGGATAAAAGCAGCAGCAGGGGAGAGCCCAGGTGAGGCTCCTTTGGCTCTTTAGAAACGTTATTGGAAAGAAATGAGCCTAGGCAGGGTTGCTTTGGAAAGTCAGAGAAAAGGGGTCTTAGAGACAGGTTCAGGGAGTTAGCCTGGGAGATGCTGTGTTTTTAAAAATTGAAGGCAAGACTCTTCATCAGCTAAAAGATTATGACTCGCTTTATTGTGATACACATTTTTGTTGTGGTGGTGTGGAACCAAACCCGCAATGTCTCCGGTGTATGCCTGTATAGACAGTTGGTACTTCGAGGTAATTTCCAATGTGCAGATTCTCTGTGTAACTAAGAAAAATTCTTCTTGCTTGTTGATAAGGTCATGCAGACAAATAACTGGTTTGGGGGGAGGAGGGCATGGGAACAACTTTCTTGAGTGTGTACTCGCACAGTTCAGCTCTGTGGTTTTCAGTTTTGGACATTAGTAGGCTCTAAGGTGGACAGAATTGTTGCTTGACTCACCCGGGTGGAAGGAATGATTCCTAACATTTGTACGGCCCCGTGCTCTCATTTGGTCCCATGTGAGGCTGGCCATGACGATGTCCTCATTCCCATTTTAAGAGAAGGGAAACTGAGGCTGAGTAAATGGGCTTCAGAGAGGCACGCAGCTGGCAGGCTGTGCCGACATGCTACAGGAGATGAGTAAGTCTCTGTGTGCAGAAGAGACACTTTGAAGTGGAGGCGGAATTACCACTTCTTTCCACGTACTCCAGTTCTGCCTTCCGGAAAACACTGTGGTCTGCTTCTCCTTGTGCCTCCCAGCACTTTAGATGTTTGACACCGCTTTCTGGTCCCTGCTTCTGATGTGAATCCTGGCTTCTAGCCCAGGCATGGCCATCCTGCCTGCTGGGGTCAAGGACTGAGAGCCCTCCAGGCCTGTCACTTGTAATTGACAGCAGCAGGGCGGGTTATCCAGGGCCCAGTCTGTGCCCTGCACCATGCACATGTGCTGTCTCTTCCCACTCTCCCCGCACCTCCAGCTCGTGCTCGCTCTCCAAGTGTGTGTGGTTGGAGTAGAGGCAAGATTCAGGTGCTCATGAGCTAAAACGGAGTGAAAGAATTATGATCTTTCCTTAGGGGCCAGGTAGAGTCAGGTTTATCTGCTGGAGTGATGTGGCTGGTAAGAGAAGGAATCAGTGTCATTTCTCCGACAGGCTTCCCTTTTGGAAAGGCCACTCTATGATTTTTTTTTTTTTAACTAACTAAAGCCTGGTGTTTGGAGAAAATGTGGGTACATATTTCTTGTGCTCCCTCCCCCATCCCATCCTCCAACCTACCCCCCTTCCAGAATCACAACCATCCCAAATCCTAGCTACCATCCCATTTTTTTCCTTTTTATTTAGTTTTATCTCATCTACATGCAATTTAAAAAAATTTTTTTTTCATTCAGCCATCTTGAACTTCATTAAAAGAGAGTATGTTACAGCATATGATTTTTGGGGACTTATTTTGATTGCTTTACAGCAGTTCAGACTGTGAGTGTACCACTTTTTATTTATGCATTTTCCTCTCAGTGAGTGACTATGAAATTTCTTGGACACATGAAGGAATTTCTCTTGCCTAAAATTTCTGGGATATAGATAATATGAATGTTGACCTTATATTAGCCAAACTGTTTTCCAAAGTATTTTTTACCAATTTATACTCTCACCTGTGATTAGTAAGTGATTCTGTGGGTCTGTATCCTTTGCAAAACTTGATATTGTCAGCATTGGCTTTGCCAATCAAATGGGTATACTGTGGCATCTCACAGCCTTGACCTGCATTTCATTTCCCATTATTTTTATCTTCATAGAAAAACCACTGGAGGTTTGGATTAGACTTTCTCCATTAACTGTGGCTTCCTCGGGTACTTCTGCCCTGGATTTTGCTTGAGAAGCTCATTTGATCACTTAAGCTTATGCAAAGGGAGAAAATACATAATGCTAAACAGCCGGGCTTAGTCGTATTTATATTATCAGGGATAAAAAATGCTTTTTGTAAATATAATCACATATAGAAAGAATTTCTGGGAAGTATGGGTAATTGCTAGCAGGATTTTATTTCTTCCCCAAAATGTAGTAGGAACATAAACAAACAAACAAATAAATAAATACAGGAGATGAGGTTCTTATTCCATTGCTTGACATTCTTAATCATGAACCAGGAGAATACAGTTTTGTGCTCAGTTTTCTTTTTTGGGGGGGTGGGGAGGGAGGAGGTGTTAGTTCACATTCAAAAACATTCATCCCCAGTTCTTATCTCATAGGAAACATGTAATTACATGAAATTAGAGGAAAATGTCATAAATGGTAGGGAATTTTCAAAGGTATTGGCTTCAACAAGTCCTTTAGGAGATAATGTGCCAGACATTAGCTTTATCCATATTAATGACAAAATTGATTTGGTTAAGGAAAATTCTGTTTTGTTGTATACAAGTTGCCTGTTGGGTGACATTAGAAATGACATTTTTTTCACCAGGAAGAGATTTCAAATAGAAACATTTGTTTTAATTAGTTTATGGTTCAGACTGATCTATGGGTAAAAATGGCTAAGCCAGTTAGCAAAGAAGGCAGCAAAGAAATTAGTCCGGCCCTCTAGGAAAGAAGGCTGCAGTCAAGTGAAAGTAAATTTTGAAAGTCCTCTGGCCAAGGAAGACCATTGGACATTTGGTGAACTGGACACTTTTGGGAATGTTGACCAGTAACAGAAGACGACACACCAAGACATCTTTGCCTCTTGGATGGATTGTACTCATTAGTGCAATGAGGCTCACTCTCAAGGGCAAACTCTCATGGGGACTGGACGCCAGGGAACAGTGTTTTCAATGTTATTTTGGGTGATCTTTGAAGGATGGAGATGGAAAAAGACAATCCAGTTGCAAAGTGTCCCCGAAAATGTGAAGCCGGTAGTGCAAGTCTGCAGGGTAAGCCACTGGGGTCTCCACTCTCAAAGGGGCCTCCTTATATTGAATTCAGCTTTAATTTGAAATATCAGT